ATTTGAAGCTTTGTTTGACGAACATTTCCTACCCTTCGGTCTTCAATTGTATTTTCCTCCGGGAATCCAAAGTATAGCAAATTGTCTCTCATTGACGTTGCTTGCAAATCGTCCTCTTCCTCATAAATCCACTGATTTTCATATTTAAGAGTGTCAACGTTTTTACGAACGCTGTCATTTTGGATTTTGCTCCCTCTTATCGTTTTGTCAATTTGGTCTTATTTTTGCTTAAGGGTGTCACAGAAGATTGAATCATATTAACGACTTGCTTCTGTTTCATTTAACTTGCGCCGTTGCTCAACCAAATCGGATTCAAAGCTAGATATTCGTCTTTACAAAGAACCTTCTTTTTCGTCAATGCGCGTCACCCGTTTTTCAGAATTGTCTAATTTTCTCGTTGATCCATTGATTCCAGCTTATCCATTATCATTTTGGTTATAATTAGAACTAGGGGTACTGGTGTATTGTGTATTGGCTGTTGAGCAGGTGTTGTAAACGAATAATGAGAAGACACTTGATACGACTGGTTTTGAAGACTACTGTTCATCCTCGGGATATTGTTCATTGCATACCCATTGTTCATGTTTCGATTTTGGGGACTACAGTTAATATTTGCCTGATGTGTATAAGCGTTCATAAGTACATATATCCCTGTTGAAACATTTTAGTATTGGGTGAAACTTCACACTTAGCAAATATTTTACCTCGTGAGTTTCGCTCAGTTGGGTTGGTGATATTTGCGAAACAGATCTCTTTTGTGATCTTGGACGTCCAGCATTCCTCTTCTCTGACTTTTCACCAATTTAAATCTTACACATAATATAATTCCATGTGCTCTCTTGCTTATTGACTATAACAATCCCTATTTTAATCCATCATAAATATAATAATTTCAGTTTATTTATATTTATTAACAGTTTTCTGACCACTATTTTCACGCATGCGCACTTACAACATTACACTAAAATTCAAAATTCTGAAAAGTTTAAAGAACTTTTGCGATAGCATCCAAAATACATATGTACACTTTCTTTAATCTTAAAGAAATTATGCATAACATCGTTAAATAACTACTTTATATAATATATTTATTTAAAACGGAAAAAAACCACATTACATCAATTGTTCTCTGATTGTTCTCCGTAATTAATAAATATTGAACATGTCAGACGTTTATCGTCGTTTTTTAATCATTGATATTTACCATATAATTTTGTACAAAAGTGACCGATATCAGATCTATATTCATGTTTTTCATCGCATAATATATTTGTATTGTTGATATATCGTGATGTGACAAATTGTAGATATAAACATGCAAGACTCATTTTAATATTCGAAATTCCGAACAATTGCAGATAAAACATTCGATTCGTCTTTCTTAGTTTTAACAAATATAATAAAGATATACATAATGTTTTAAATGAAAAGGGTCATGTTATTGAAGCCTAACTATAATTATGTTTGAATTATTATACATTTTCTTAGAGTTCAACAAATTCAGATTCATGACACATGTTTCAGAAAAGTCTATGTTATTAGGAATTGTTCCTTATTCCTTTAATTAAACAAAAACCATCCACACATCAAACAATTCGTATAAGCGCCCATCAGCTTTTATTTTTTGTTGGAAAAACAATTGTGTGTTGTTCAAACTAAGTATTTCAGTAACTTAATCTTTGGCAAGTGCATTATATCACTATGGAGAACGGAGGTATATAGAGATTTACCACCTTAATTCCTAACATGAAATGATTAATCTAAGAATAACATATTTTAACTTAAGAAAAGGTGAAGGCTGCTTAAACGTAACCATGTAGCATTTCAGCCAAAAATAAGACCCAACCTCAAACGAAGTCCTTCAAAAAAAGACATTTGCATATTTGTTAACTATTATATATTTGTTGCTACAGGAAAAAAGGTCCTAAAAATTGTATAAAATGTTTTAAAATTTCACGTATTGAAATCATGTGAGTTTTAACTTACTCTACGCAAATATGGTCATTAAAAAGTAACACATAATTACACAAGCATGCTTTATTTAATCTAAAACACTTAAACAAAAGTTCATTACATTAAAAAGCCGCAACACTACATAATTTATACATTATCATTCAGACTGGTATTAAACATTAATAATAAATTAATAATTTCCTCGCAAAGGGTAAATATACAATGTATGTACAAAATTTATTATAAAAAGACATTTTAAAATAAAATGAATCTTCTTCACGTTAATACACTGTAAACATACTATGTCATTACATCATATTCATAAAGTCGGACAACACTAGACATGTGCATATTGTCCTGCTTATATACAATGCTAAATTTATGTCTCAACTGTTGCGGTTGGTGCTATTGATCCCTTTTCACAGAGACACGTTGTATTGCATCTTTAAAAGTTGTTACAACATAAGATGATAATTAAAATAAGCGAACTTTCCAATCTGCCTTTTTAATGAAACAATTTTATGTCAAACTGAAAATGTAGGTACTATAGTGTAAAGTAAGCTAGGGTTGTATATTTAGATTAATACTTCTACATGTATATTTAATTATCTACAAATAAATCATACATAATTGAGGCACGTTAAGCCTTTGCAATGAATATATTTTTTCTTTAGTAATCATATATCATGTAATATTGTCATAACGGAATTAAAGCATGTAAATAATCACGTAAAAGAAGCACTGTGAGACATTATAATGTGCCAAATAGTTAGGAAAAACTGAACAAAATGGCACCTTGGCTTCCATACAAAAACTAAATCGGCAGTTTGGGTCGAGTGTTTAAGGTCCCTGACTTCAAAACACTTTCTTCTTACCACTGTAGTTTCGAGTACTGGCTAGATTTTGGAGTTTATTATGTGGCAAAGCTATCACCAACCAGTTTATTGAATATTGGTGGTTGTAGGCGCTTAAAATAACATATAAGAGACAGTTAACGTATTCCATGACACCAGTAAAGCTTGAAATGACATGAAAGCAAACAAAAAAACTGTTATCATTTTACTAATTCCTAGAATGTAAAAGTTAAAGATGAGTCATATTTCAGTCAATGAGAAATGCACTGCTTTGGGAAATTTTAAGGGTACATTAAACATAAAACACTTTTAAAAGAAAAATATTTAGCCTGTACACATGTGGATTCCTTGTAGAAAGGTTATCTATGCAGCAGCACACGAAACTGAATCTGTTACAGCAACAGTGTATCTAAAATATAAACAGTTTTCTTTGATTTACCTGTTAAAGTTTTTTAAAAAATGATAGACATTTTCAAAAAGGGTATATTTAGCTTCTCTCAACTTGGATATGGAAAACTCATGCCACATCCAATCAGCGTATCAATTTATGTTCGACAAAACGTATAAGCCCGGCATCAGGCTGTTACCTCTCGCTTATTATTGATTTCTTTGATATCAATATTCCCATATATTAATTAATCTTTAACCCTTCCTCTGAAAATAAAATATATAAAAATCCAAAAACATTATCAAAAAAAAGTATTAAAATGATATAATAGGAAACGCCTTGCCTTAGATAATGTTTGTATGAGTAAACCCTTTTGTATGTGCATCTAGTATATCGTTAATAATGCTGTGAGATAATGATGTAAATTTATGTTGGTATATCACTTTCTGTTGTATTTACCTACCTGAAAGACACCAGATTGGTTTTTTCACATTCATTTAAAAGATATAATTAAAATGCCATTTTCCTCTCAAAATCCACCCCCTTTGTGAATTAGTCACGTGCACATCCATCTTCTAACTCATTACGCAACAACTCCTCTATAAATGCTGAAAACCACATGGAAACCATTAATTAAATATATATACAACTGGCTATGGTATCATAAGGGTAGATTAAGTCCAAGAAGAGAGGTCCAAGCTAAACAGCATTCGGAAGAAAACATTTTAAACTAATTTAATATGTTTAAAAAAGAACTAAATGTTTTAAAATGGGAATGCAATTTTTAAGTCTGGTTTGTTAACACCTCATTTTATTTTTTCTCCGAATATGTCATCCTAGTATTTTAGTAAATTTTGTTTTTAAAACATTTTAGTAAGTGAAATCTATTGCATTTTGACAATAGAATTAGATTATAATACTTATCCAAATTGTCCAGATTGACTGAATAACACATAGTTACAAACATAAGATATTAAACTTTCTTAAGAAGTAAAAGTAATGTATAAAGTACCAGTCACAACCTCCTCATTAATAGGCAATATTTTTAGCTTGATAACACCATGTTTGGATACGCTTTCTATTTTCATGTAAATTACTGAAATATAAACATTTCGTTTAGAAATGCATTATGTATTACAAAATACGTTTTATTTACACGAAGTGAACATATTATTTGATTTCATTATGATTTCCACAATTCATAAAACATGACAACTCTTTGAAAAAAGTCAAATTTAACATTTCAAAAAAACCTTAGACGTTCGTGATTTTGGTCACAATATGCTTCCATAGAACAATGTAGGAAAGAAAAAAAAATAACTTGTGCATATACATACTAAAATATATGGTCATTTCTGCGTCATTTTAGATAACTGCACAAAAGGAAACAAAGTATAACAATGAGTTAAAGATAAACACTCTTTTAATCATAATCTCTGTTACAGATTGTGTTTAAAATCACAAAATCATATGATACATTTTGTCATTTGCATAATCGACTGCTTGGTGGACAATTATATTTATCCACAAACATATTTTCCCATAACATTTATAAAGCAGAATATAAAAATGTCTAAAATAACTCACCTTTGCCGGTCTAATCTTTATGATTGATTTTTCAGAACTTGGCAAGAGGAGGACCTTTTTTCTCAAAATGTTAATAATTTATCTAATCGAGAAAACATTTTTGAAGAAATAAGTTTTACCACATTTTTATTACGACTGGTCTGTATCATATAAACATCTTGAAAAAAATCGCTCTTAAACGATATTTAGTATTATATTATTAAATCGTTAAATTTCAGGAGGACACGAGGTCGATTTTTCAGGTTTAACTTCGATAAAAAGATATACGGGAACGTGTCGTATAAGATATTTATATCAAGTATAGACGCACGTACGTATACTATCTAAAATTATAAAAAGAAAAACTCAAATGTATAGAGTCTTTTGTGTAGAGTGATGTATTTAAGTACTATACCATGATTTTGCATGCTAGAACATAAGTATTAAAGTCTAATTAAAGTGGATTGGTCTGCAATGGGAACATCTTCCATAAGTACATTGGGGGAAAATATTGAAAGTGTAAGTGATATTTAGTATATAAACAGTGATACTGCTGAGATTTATTATTTGCTATGATATGTAAAATCCGATCACCAAGTGCCAGATAAACTTACCAACAACATAAATATATAATGTGTTCGTGGTTTGTTATCACGTACAATATTTTATACTATTTAAATGATTGTTTATGTTATTACATACCTTCCTTTGTTGACCAATTCACTTAAAGGCCGTTATGACTCAGAAATTATTTTAGTTTATTTTTCAAAAGTTTTGTAATATCGGTGTACTTTCATAGTATCCTAAAAGTTATTAATTGGACCATTACCTTAACCGTCTTTTTCATCTGAAGCTGTTTAGGCAATAAGTACAGTTACAGTGAATGAGTATTCTGTATTGAAGTCCAAATACTACTTTGTTCATGACACAATGATTCACATTTATTGCTATTTTCTTCAAATTTAAAGTATGTAGCATTCTCTAAACGGTTATATAGACATTATAAAATTCACGTGAATCCTTTCTAAATTAGTAAACAAATATTTGTTTCTTAAGCATAATGTGTCTTTAATACTGCTAACTGAATCACAGGGATAAACAAATGTAACCTGATTTACTTATTAGATGTTAACAACCTTTTTGCGCAATTTCTTAATGGTTTTATGTCATAAATCTGATGCTTAAATGAAAACTTATCAACATTGTATGTTTCGAAAAGCATTATTTGTTAAGACATTACCGACTAAATTATTTCATGTAAATAATAATAAAATCTAAGCCAGTTTTTCTTTTCAATAAAAAATAAATGCTTAGTTTACCATTTAATTATAATGTATAGAAACATTTGCTGTAATAATAATAATAGTAATAATGGATGTGATGAAATTGTTTAAGAAGTATAATTATAAACATATACAAAACTTCACTTAAATCCATGTTACATCCTTAATTACATCATACAGGGCACACTCGTCTGCTTCATGTTACAAACGTTTACAATCAAGTAATATGTATAAAAGAAGTTATTTCTATAAAATGGATATATTGCTTCAATAAACCATTATTATGTGATGTGACATTCTTATGGTGACAGGTGACATTTGCAGTATTATTTCATCTTGTGGCCACGACTTATTATCTTGTGTTGACAACTTACTATCTTATGGCAACGACTTATTATATTGTGTTCACCACTTATTATCTTGTTGCCTCAAGGTATTATCTCGTGGTCACGACATATAATGGTGTGACCACTACTTATTAGCACATAAAAAATTGTGGCCAAAAGGTAAAATAATACTGCAAATGTAACATCTGTGCTACCATACATTCGGATATAATCTAGTTAAGTCTATTATTCAAGTATATTTGTGAAATTGTTGTTTTTCTGATTCAGTTAATTCTTATATTTATTTCTCTAACATTTAGAAAACGGTGAGCCATGTTTTGAAAGTATTGATGTACAAGAGACCCAGGTATCCGGCAGTTATGTTTCATATTCTCGAGTGAAACGTCTATTTGTTAAGAATCATAAATCGAGGTACACGATCAGACCCACGATCAGACCCCCGATCAGGCCCACGATCACGATCAGGCCCACGATCAGGCCCACGGTCAAGCCTATAGATGAGGTCCAAGATAAGGTCCAAGATGAGGTCCAAGAGGTGGTCCAAGATGAGAGGTCAAAGATTATTTGTTGGGTTCAGGACTTAACAGACCTGACACCTTGGATACTGGTTTGTTGAATTCATTCTGTATACTTAAACAACTGAGAACAATGATAATGTATTCATAGATTAATGATTATTCATGATTTAACTTAAAAAAGTATGTCGATGTATATTTTTATCAACATAATAACTATATAAAGAAATGTTCTCAATGGCTAATTATTAGTTAATATATATTCGTAAAAGTTATGCCAGGTTGATATAATGCTTTCTAAATAAAATAACTGGATAAATTAATGTTTTCAATAATGAAATTCTCTGTGTTAGGTGACTTAAAATAAAGATATTTTCTTAAATTTTGTTGTCTGTATGAAACATGTATTTCAGAATCTATAAACTGACCGACAATTTGCTCATAATATAGCAATGCAAAAATATGTAGGTAGAATTCAACATCACCTCTTTTTAAGTTTCAAATACAAATTCATATACCATGTAGACGAATCTTTCGTTTCTTGACAATAATGTACAAACAATTCGAGCCAACTGGCGGATAATGATATGAATATGATTCCAACTTTCGTCACACGATTGTATAACTAAACAATATATTTCACAGTTAATAATTTCACAGGAATATTAACTATTTCAATGACATTCTTGCACTATTTTTTGTTAGTTGATAATACATGTAGCATATATGATTAAGGTAACGTTTCTTTTAAGTGCATTGCTCATAATTAGCACATTTTCGGTACGTGTTTTGAATATTGATTGTAAAATTTGAATAATTTCATGAATTACTTCTGGAAAATAAAATGTCGTTCTTAAGTGATTTCTCATAAATAAATGTTATGAATAATAATATTTTGTTGTAGAAATGTCAATTATCTGCTACAAATTTCCCCTCGGATCATGTATCTTACACTGACAAACAACATCCATATATAAGTATCTTGTTTTTCTCACATGCGATGCAAAATATTTTAAACATAATTATTTTATGGTATTAGATATCTTATATCATTGACCAAATTCCTTTTAAATTGAGATACATCAGCAATATTCAACACACTAATTCCAGTAAATATTATCTTAATTCATCTAGGTGGATCTTATTTCATTAACAAAAATAGAAGGAGTTGGTGTATCCTTATCCAAAGATTTTGATGGATGGAGCACTTTCAGTTTATATTTTGGCGCGGATAAGGATCGCCTCAAGGAATACAAGGACAGGGTAATCTCATATTCTTTCTAATATTCAATGTGACATGCATGTATGAATAATTTATAAAACATACTTGTACATACAATGATTTTTTTAATGAATACGTTTGCAAGGATCGTTATTTCTTGCTGCGTCCCAATTTCATAACGGGAAATTTAATTTGTGCATTGAATCGAATATGGTGAATTCAGATATTTTCTTACAAGTTATGGATGGATTTAAAGAAATAATATGCATACAAATAAAGATTCAGAAGTGTGTATTGAAGAAGAGTTGAGTTGGATAATAATTATCTACTTTTTAGTCTTAAATGAGTGAAAGTAGGTAGTGCCACAAATTAAATTGTTAAAATCCCCAACTCAAGATAAGATGGTAAACTTAATTTTGCACAAATGATAAGAACTGTTTCTGAAGCTATGACAATGTCCCAATTGATAGATAATATAGATTAAGTTAAATGATGCTTTTTGTGACTATTGACACATTGTCAATTAGATATCTAATACCTAAATTAAAAGTAGTATAAAGATATTTTTGTGTTATGCTGCACTTACCGTTTCTCACTAGCATAATTATAAAAAGACTTATTTTACCCAAAATTTTGCTTTCATTGTTAAACAGCATTTGTTTTTTGGGTTTTTCTTTCGGTGTCCTGTTATAATGTTTTGTTTCTGTTACAATTTGTCAGTTAGTATGTAAGTATTGTAAGAGTGTTCAAGTGTATTGTATGCCAATCAAAACACCGCTTTGCTTTTATTTGTGTTACTTTTATAACAAATAAGTTCACATTCACTTGACTGAGGTGATAATCACCTGACATGCTTTAAAAGCATTAATTAAGTTTATAAAAGTAATGTTGGCTTTTTCTAAAAAATAAACATTTACTTGTATCTGAGTCAAAATGTGTCGTTATGCACACAAAACAGACCACTAGTACCACAAAAAATCGACGAAGGGGAATGTTAGCAATAAAAACATGAAATAGAGATTATTTAGTTTTTTTACAATGTAACGTTACCATAAGGTTTCTCTATATGGTCATTATTCAAGTTGTTTGACAATCATGATTGTATCATTTTATTTTATTTTCAGTTAAGGGTATTTACCATCTTGTCAACTGTTTGTTTTTTAACATCAATAAAATAACAATAGCAATACTCTGTGATGAATTTGAGGAATACAATTACTGTCACTTGTGTCTCTCACCTCATTTTCTATTATAATAGGAGTATAGGGATATTTTGTCGCGTCTTGTCTATACATTTTATCCCAAATTTCTGTCTATCGTTCTGTCAGTAAGTGTATATCTATGTATTAAGTGATGGGTTGTTGACTCTAATGAATGTGCATTCAACACGACATATTGAAATCTTATCAAGTAATGACCTCACAGTGGACAATTTCCTCTTACATGAAAAAATGTACTAAATATAGGTCTCATAAACTGCCAAAAGAACGCGTGAGTAGTTCCCGGTTATTCCGATACCATCCGACATAAGTCGATGCTAAACGATTTATTAAAGTCCGTATTTTCACATTTAATTGATTAGTAATAGAAACAGCACCGAAACACGAGGCTATCTGATTTGTACGAGGGGGCGTAGCCGAGTGTTTTGGTGTTTTTTCTCTTTTGTATCATAGTCAAACATAAAAACACGTTCCCTGTTGTCACAATTTTAAACCCCGGGAAAAAGTAACCAATGATCGAGCATCTGAATATGATAGTTCTGCCGCTTTCCCTTTCTCTGCCGTCACAATATGTAAACCCCAGCAAAAATGAACCAATCAACTGGCATTATCGGGAGTGCGGGTAACTGATACCTGCACTCCAGTTACCGCACTGTGCATGTATATGTATACGATTTAACTCTGACACTTTTTCAACAGAAAGGTCCCCAAACTATGATACAATCAACATTTAGTGATCACTCCCGTATGAACAAATCAATCTATGGATGCAAATTATTTGATCGTGCTTGTCTTAAACTTAAACTTAATCGGCAAAATAACAGGTTATATGCGTTGGATTTATTGAGAATGGATCAAAACAGGGAAGTGTGAAATTACCTCTAAAATTATGAAAGAGTATCATATACCATGCACTTTGGGTTAGAGGTGAACTTGACATACATTTGACAAACAATTCACATATCATTTACAATAAGCTAGATAATCTATAAATATCATGAGATAATACATCAATAAGATTTTTTGCTTTATTATAAACAATTTCTCCAAAGTAGATAATATCTGCTCTATTTTTGCTTATAAGAATGAAATGAATATGTGGAAGTATCTGTAATTCATAAAGTATCTGTAATTCATTATTTTCAGGAATTTCGAATTTTCCCCCGAAGTTTAAATACAACAGAACAGACATTTACTTTTCCTAGTCCAATTAAAGCCAGATACGTAAAATTCAATGAAATACTTGCAAATCCAACACATAAACAACGATGCTTAAGTTTTATGTTTTACGGTTGTAAATTGACAAGTAAGTATAAAGTTTAATGGATCATTTTCTTTTGACTAATAATGTCTCCAAAGATTTGGAATTAAGCTAAAATTTAATTATAAAGATGGCCACTTTTTCAATTTTCTTGTTGTTATTTACAACGTTACTTTTTCATTTAGTTTTGGTATCTTTATGATAGATGTATATTACTGAGAACTGCTCTGTTTTGTAAACAGGTATCATTGACCAAACCAGCAGCAGTTCATCTGAAATGCTCCCTCTTGATCAAGAATTGCGATCCGGAAACTCATCTTTCATTAGCAATACAGGTGTTGAGGGATGTAAACATCTTTGTAAATCTAAAAAAGGTTGTAGTGTTGCCAGTATCAATGAAAAGGGACTTTGTTATCACTATATGGGTAGTAAACTTGGAATATGGAAAAGTCATAAAATTACAAAAGGCAGTCAGTGGTTTGTCAAGCTACAAAACAATGGTATGTCATTATTTCGTCATGAAATAATTTATCATTTTTTTAACTGTGCAATATAAGTTTTTGATATGTCTGTGGCAGTATCACTTCTCATGTGCGTGTATTGGATTTTCGTATGATGATTAATGAATTTATTTTTAATCACTTTCAGTTATTTTTCGAACGAAAGCCTCAAACAAAAATGTTTGTAAAAGAGATTATAAATATTATTTTTCTTTAAGCATGTAGTATACAAATTGACTATGATAAATTGAATAAAAAAAAGAAAAAGAAATAAAAATGACTTGGTCAGAAAGGTTAGTTTGATTATTTCTAGGTGAAGTTCGATTGTTAGTCACCTGGGTTCAAAAATTAAGTCATGAAAGAAAAAAACCTTGTCAACACTTTACAGTTTACTGTTTGATCCAAATATCCTAGAAATAGATCAGAAATGTTGTTTTGATGTTTTCAAGGTCAAATTATATGGTTTACCTAGTGAAAAACTAGGTCATACAACCTCTATATGGAGAAAGTTTAACTCTTTAGAGGCAAAGAGGGGTGTTCAAATATGGATGCAACTAGGACAATATGTCGCTTTAGACCATGTTTGCACGAACAATGTATATGTATTGCATTGATGGTTGTGTAAGCTCTCAATTGATACAATACATGTGTACATCAGTTCAGTCTAGCTTTAACAATTGCATGATTTATATTAGATGAATATTATATATTATATTATATATTAAATGAAATATGTCGTGTTCATAACAACTTTCTTTTTCTTCTGAAACACTGTGATGTTAGAAATGTAAAAGTTGTCTGGATTCAGTAAAATATGCACCCTATGCACACAGGCCTATTACTGCTAATTCGCCGAAACCAGTTGAGATAGTAAAGGATTTGATTGCTTCTTATGTAAAATTTACTAATAAGACTTTGTATATATCTTAATGCGTTGGTTTCTAAGCCGCTTATACAATTCTCCGGTGTGATTTAGAATAAGAAGGAAATGTGTCAGATGGTTACTCCATCTCCTTACAAAAGACCAAAAACTTGCTCGGGTAAGAATCTACAAACAATTGTTGAAACACTTCCCTAATACAACAACCGATCTTTGGCAATTATCATCACTGGCGATGAGACATGGGCTCACGTTTATGAGCCAAGAAAACGATACGTAACAAAATATGAGTAACCTAAAGAAGTCGAAGACCCTTTGAAGCAAAACACACCATGAACGTTCAAATGTCATGTGTGTAATTTTCTTTACCAATCAAGGTTTTGCTTTTCTATTTGCCGTACCAAATGGTAAATCTGTAAATGCCAAGTTTTACTAAGGCAAGGCAAGGTCCTTCATAAAATTAAAAAAAAAAAAAACGTCACCAGCGACTGGTCTCCGTGTTGCCAAGTTGTTGCATGACAATGCTTCGTCAAACAAAGCGGCCATTGTGCGGAAAAATCTAAAACAGGAAAGATTGTCGGTATTCCTCACCCTCCTTATTCGCAATTAATTGCCCATTGTATCTCGTTTCTATTTCCGAGGCTCACAAAACATCTTGTTAGAAGAAAATAGCAAAAGGGAATTAATCTCGGTTAGGCTATATTTCAGTGTCTGAAATTTTGGCACATTTTGTTAAGCACTACTGAAAATGGACTCAGCTGTATTCATATTTGAATAACCCTCATACTGTTTTTTATCCAAATATCCCAGACATTTGTTAGAAATGTTGTTTTTCTTCTAGGTCAAGTATGAATTTGGGTATTTTATGGGAAGTACAAGGTTGTTCAAAAGGTGACATGACTAAGGGTCTTGCATCTTCATATTCCATTTAATTAGAATAGATGCATGTGTACCGCAATCATAAAATTGTTTCTACAATTTGAGCATCTGTTTATCAAATCGTTGTCCTAAACGCCTGTTCCCTGTGATAGTAACATGCACACGATTCAGCAAATAAAAATAAAACGTATTGAAGCTAATTTGTACTTCTAATTTATTCATGTTTTATTATCTGTTGTTTTTTATCCAATATATTCCACCAACTTGTTTCATCATCTTTAAGTGAAATTATATTCAAATTTGACGTCAATCAGACATTAAAGATATGAAATGGCTAACTTATCAAGTTTTTGTCAGCAGTTGTCATCATAACGTTTTATGTAGAAATACGACGCTCGTGAAAAAGTGAAAGTTTGTGTAATTGTATTCCAAATATTATTTACCCTTGCAGGAATTACCTCACTGGTTCCAAGCATTGAATATTAAGATAGTATTTAAGTTCAACGTGGGCTGTATAATAAGTTCATAGGCACTGGCTATAATTCCCTTATTTTTAATAGGATCTTTCTAATAATGCATCGTTATGAAGCTGCATACTTAAAAAAAACAAATATGTATGGTAAAGGTATTTACAAAAATAACAATGATCAGTTAACATGTATATCTAACCGAAAACATTTCTTTTTTCTTGATTGTTCCAATTTTGAACCATAAAACGTTCTTTCTGCAATAATATTTGAAAACTCCAAGAAGTAGCGTCATTCGGAACACTCCGTTTTAAACATAATATTTTGTTAACGTTAACGTAAAATAACAGGATAGTGTTATGGCTTTGACATAAGTACTTTGACGTTCTTTTCGAATAATTTGAACGCTGTATGCTGTGAATTTAAGTTGTTGTTACAGAAACAGTAAGTAGAAGTATAGTCATGGTATCAGACACTTATTTGAAAATACGCCCAAACATTAAACTTTGTACAAAACTTGACTAAGTTTAGGTCTCACACGTGTCATTTTACACTAGGTAAACGCGCCTGCTCAATGAGCCCATTCAGCAATGTTTGAGATCAGTGTTCTTGAATTTGAATCTCTAGTTCACTCTCTTTATGATCAAGCCTCGAGTGTTTCCATTTCTAAAGCGTCAACAAAAAGGACAACGATTTAGATTTAAATGTGTTCCAGCTCATTGTTGCTATATTTTCTAAGTAAACCTTCTAGAAGTGAATCTCCAAGCAGAAAATGCATGTCCTTTTGGCTTCATCGAAATGTATTCGCAGCTTAAATGATATGACATTAGCTTGGCCTGTTATATAACGTCGTGTTACGGGGTACGTTGATGCACTGTATTTAAACTACATTAATACGGAACATGTCTGATTGATTTTTATTTTCTTTTTGTACTTAGTCATAAAAAGAACTTCATTTGTTTGAACATAAATTAATTTGAGACGGTACTACGTCGTAACTAATTCCCATTTAACCAGTCTGCTAACTTATCTTACAGCCTTCGTATGTTTAGATAACCCAACAAAAGCATTGCGGATTGGATTCCCCTGTAGGCACCCTCCTTCAGAGTTTTTGTCATTCATCTTTTTTCTTTCTTTTGGTATTAAATTCTCTATTCTGATTGCTTAGGACAGGCAATATACGGATATAAATGGCCTAATCAATTAAATAGTATATATGTAATCGAATGCGACAATAGTATAGCTATGCTTTTCTGATATATTTAATCGCAATCGATGATTTTGTGAAGTTGCATTTCTACTCGGCTCAAACCATACAAAAGATGAGAGGATTTTTTCTTTGATTCTTTGAAAATTTGTTTACTCAATAAGGGTGCGTTAACTGGAGATTTTAAGGGAAATAATGCTTTTACTTGAAATTGCGCACTACAAGTTTACTTAAGAATAGAAAAATAAAATTGAAATAAATTTTAGTAATTCATGGAAGAGTTTGAATAAAACAAATTTTTGAATTTCCATTGCTACTTTTTTCAACGGTTCATTTACGTTTCCATATCAATACTACAACTACGTAACTCAAGGCATATAAAGGTTGTATAAGGATTTCGAATGTTGCATATCATCACGATAGGAGAATTATTATAAGCTAGAAATAATTAAAACAAAATATATAAAAACTCCCAGAATGGTCGTACGCAAGGTCTTACAACCCTCGAGTACGACAAATAACCTCGTGATTTAGTGCTCAAAACCTCTCGCTTATAATTCGCTCTATATTGCATTCAATTCAAGTAAAAAGATTTAAAATATTTTAAGTGAATTGATGGCATCATTTTAACGTGTGTGCTTCATGCAATTTTGCAGTTCAATGCGGTTCTGATTGTGGAAATCCTACCAGGATTTTGAATTTGTTTTTGTTCTTTTTTATCATTTTACCAAATGTATTATCTTCTTGTTATCAACACAGTATTTACGGTATCCTTTCCGAGGGCTTACCAAAAAGAGTCGTTTTTTCGAAGCGTACAGTACATAGATAGAGCCTCTATAGTAACATCTCTCAGTTACCCTCTAACGGCAATGTTAGACTATGACATACTATGGATTGTTAATTTTGTACCAGGACGGTTTGCCAAATTTGTTTTCACAAATGTTTCACTATCTGAGGTATGCATTCGATTTTTTTATCACTGAAACCTTAAGTTCTATAATCGTTCCAATGTAAGTTAGTAAATTCATCTTTTTATAATTTGTAAGATTTACGTTTTTGAATTAATGGTTGCCTGACACATATCTTGTAATGGGGATTCTTAAATAATTTTGAGCTTGTATCACTTTGAAGTCAATTTTGTTCTATAAGTTAACATAGAAATACAACTAATTTGTTATAAATTTAATATGGGGAAATGTTTCAATTACAATTGTTGTAACGTAAATGACTTCACGTTAACAAGGTGTTGTTCTTACAAAATTATGCTGTTTTGTAGCCAAATGTCTTTTTTTTAGTTTTAAAGTTTCTCAAGTCCTACTATAAATGAAAATTTGATCATGATTTGTTAGTTCACTTTAGATTATTTTTTACTTTATGCCTTGATGTTTGTATATGTACTTAATGATAATTAACTGGTATTTTAGTTAAGTTATTTTGTTTATGAATTGCTACGTTATATATTTTATTTTTACGCAGTGTGAACTCATTGTTAAAACATCGAAAGATAGTTATAAAGGATTTAGCATTGACGCGCAGTACAACGATAGGGTATTTGTATTAGAAACAGATAAAAACTTGTTGTTCTTATCAGCAATGCCAAAAACAACGATGTCGACACCAAAGATAAAATTCCGGGCAATTGTAACTGCTGAGGGTAAATTGAATGTTACTAATTTTCTTTTTAAAAACAACTTGCACTATTATATATACGATTTGTACCCTAATTAAAAACATGGTCTATTGAGTGCTACCCTACAAGTTGATATTTGTTTTAATACTTTAGTTTAATTTAAGTTAATTTCTTTTAGTCATTAATATTTTTTTCTTTTCTGTTTGCGCTTTTATGAATTAATTTAAATTAGTTTTACGCTTTTGTATCAGCTTATCTAATCCTTAAATGCTGTCCGTTCAGTTTCGAAATATAATTCTGGTACTTTGGAACGGAAAGGACAGTAATCTCGTTCTTCATTATTCTTTTTTTAGCTCACCTGAGCTTGCTCAGGGTGAGCTTTTAGGATCGGTGAATGTCCGTCGTCCGTCGTCCGTCGTACGTCCACAATTGCTTGTGAACACTCTAGCGGTCGCATTTTTGCCTCAATCATCATCAAACTTGATCAGGATGCTTATCTAGTTAAAAGCTCGGATGAGTTCGAACATGGCTTATCTCGGATGAAAAACTAGGTCACAATAGCTAAAAATAGAAAAACCTTGTGAACACTCTAGAAGTCACATTTTTGACCCAATCATCATCAAACTTGGTCAGGATGTTTGTCTAGGTGATAGCTCGGACGAGTTCGAACATGGGTCATTTCGGATGAAAAAGTAGGTCACAGGAGCTAAAAATAGAAAAACCTTGTGAACACTCTAGTGGTCACATTTTTGAACCAATCTTCATCAAACTTGGTCAGATTGCTTGTCTAGTCAATTGCTTGGATGAGTTCGAACATGGGTCATCTCTGATGAAAAACTAGGTCACAGGAGCTAAAAATAGAAAAACCTTGTGAAACTCTAGTGGTCACATTTTTGACCCAATCATCATCAAACTTTGTCAGGATGCTTGTTTAGATAATAGCTCGGATGAGTTCGAATATGGGTCATCTCGGATGAAAAACTAGGTCACTGAAGCTATAAATAGAAAAACCTTGTTAACACTCTAGCGGTCACATTTTTGCATCAATAATCATCAAACTTAGTCAGGATGCTTATCTAGTTGATAGTTTGGATGAGTTTGAACATGGGTCATCTCGGATGAAAAAGTAGGTCACCCGAGCTAAAAATAGAAAAACCTTGTAAACACTCTAGCGGTCACATTTTTGCATCAATCATCATCAAACTTGGTCAAGATGCTTGTCTAGGTGATAGCTCGGATGAGTTTGAACATGGGTCATCTTGGATGAAAAAGTAGGTCACCGGAGCTAGAAATAGAAAAACCTTGTTAACACTCTAGTGGTCACATTTTTGCATCAGTCATCATCAAATTTTGTCAAGATGTTTGTCTAGGTGACAGCTTGGATGAGTTTGAACATGGGTCATCTCGGATGAAAAAGTAGGTCACAGGAGCTAAAAACAGAAAAACCTTGTTAACACTCTAGCGGTCACATTTTTGCATCAATCATCATCAAACTTGATCAAGATGCTTGTCTAGGTGATATCTCGAATGAGTTCGAACATGGGTCATCTCGGATGAAAAAGTAGGTCACCAGAGCTAAAAATAGTAAAACCTTGTTAACACTCTAGTGGTCACAATTTTGACTCAATTGCCATTAAACTTGGTCAGGAAACTTGTCTAGGTCATTGCTGGGAATAAATCGAACATGGGACATCTCGGATGAAAAACTAGGTCACAGGAGCTAAAAATAGAAAAATCTTGTTAACACTCTAGTGGCTACTGTTGTGATCCAAATATTCTGTTAATTGGTCTGAAAGTTTGTTTTGATGATTTCTAAGTCAGGATCGAACATTGCGTCATTACATAGTGTTGAAGTTTTCTTTCATATAATATTTATCATTAAGGATTATCATATTTAGCCAAACTATGCGAAGGATATTGGGCGTTGGCGTAACACTTTAGATTTATAGTGGACAATTTTATTTTTCAATTCTTAAATGACCAGCCATAATACATAATAGTTTGTATATTTTCAAAGTGTCACCTAAGGATCATTACGGTGAAATTTGATTAAAATGTTAAACACAGCTAAAACTGGGATGTAGTTTTAAGACATAGTAAATCACAACGTATGAATGACAATGCACATCTTACTTTCACAAAAACTTAACTTTAGTCACTTTTTGCTTAGGTGATCTAAAAGTGAAAGTAACTTTCCTTAGATTATTACAGGTTTAAATACAGTTAATAATACATGTATTTCATACATACATGTTTGGCACAAATAATTGTTCCAATTACGGACATGCACGACTTTTTCCCCATTTTGCCTAGTGCATTGGTTCATCACTATGAATAGTTTGAATAGTTTGTTCATAGATGCTTTACAACTGAGATAGCCACACTATAATGAAATATACATACTATAACGCTACAATGAACTGTCATTGAGGCAAATGAAAATATGATAAAGTGACCGGGTTTTGTTTTCTTAATTTTATTTGACTTGAAAACAATTTAGCAAAGAATTTGTTTGATGACACAAAGTGTGTTGTTTATGTGTCTAAAGAGTTTGTACCATAGTTTGACATAAATAATTATACATTTTCAAGGAGATAAATAACTGTAAGATATTCTTTTGCAACTCAAATGTTCTTATATGAATCAATCATACGTGACCAAAGTTCAACAAAACATTTAAATCTCATTGCTGCTTAAAGAAATGTGAATTGAACGAGTGGTGAAGATTAATCTAAACTACAATGTATAAGATTAGATAAGATAAGATAAGATAAAATAGGATAACATAAGTAAATTTTATTACAGTGACATTGTGTTATGTTCATACATAATGAGGATATATATTTATTTTTACAACATCCAGCAACGTTGGACCTACAAGTCACTAAATGATTTAACATTTCTTAAAATAAACAATTTTAAAATCATTTACATATTTATTAATCATATACATTCATGAAGTTATATAGATTTAAATGTTCTAGGACATACTAACAGCATCTGCGTATGTGAAATAGGAATTATACGAGCTAACACTTTTATCTAATAACTTTAGGAATTAAATCACATATATGTATATTTATAAAAATAAAAAATAAACAACAGATATGTGAAGAATTACACACATGACCATGGCTGTGCTATTTGAATATTTGCCGACAAAATCCAATGACGCTTAGATTCTATTCGCCTTTATAAACTTTTGTTAAAGGCAAGATTTAAACTAGCGCAGATCCTTTCTTTTTACATTGAATGACTATCGATCAAGTCACGACAACTAAGCGGTCAATATATTACTTAACTAAATCTGCAAATGAATGTGAGTTAAAAGCATCTCATGCAAGTTACGAAATGCGTTTCAAATACTTATTTAATTTATCAAGAACAGGTTACTAAAAAGGCGTGCCAAACAAACTTATTAAATTGCAATTTTTCAGTTTGTTTCATTTTCAATAATTTTACAAACTTTAAGACAATTTGTTTCCGACGACCATTTTGCATTGTTTTAATGAGTAGACAGACTGTATTTTTCGTAAAATAATTTGGCATAACTGGAACTAAATTTCTATCATTTCATAGCATATACAAAGTAAAATAACATCATGTCATTAAGAATGAAATAAAAAGTTTGTACCCCGACAGGGAATAAAGAAACAAATATTGATTTAATTTCAAAACAAACGAGGCGTTGCTAGCTACAGCTTTTTATCATCTGCTTTAAAGCAGCATGCCTCCAGATTCATGTTAATTTTCATAAAAAAATAAAAAATGTATTTAAAAGAAAAATATTGTGAGGTGAACAAACAAAGTAATTTACATATTGCAATCGACACTTACAATCAAAGAAAACTACCAAAAAGTGGTCAGCATATGCAAAAACATCCCGTACCGCTTTAGTAACGTAGTAGAAATATGGTGATAAAATACCTCAAAATCTTAAACCGCATGTAACCTGTGAAATTTAATGTGGATTTAAATGATTTTACCTTTCTTAAAATATTATTACATTTTTCTCAATATTGATTTTCTTGAAGTATTGTGGCTCATCTGGAGGCGTGCAGCTTTAAAATTTGACACAAAGAGCACAAGGCAAGCAAGATAGACCTAAAAGAATCATAGCTGTGTCAATTACACTTTTCTTTCATAATGCAAAGTTAAAGAAAAGTTGCTGCTCTAGTTTTAATTTTCATTCATTGTCGTAATAAATCTTGCTGTACTGTATGCCTTGTGAAATTTTGAATTTTTATACAGCGGATGTCTGCCTTTGAAACAGTATCTTATTTTACATGTCTGTGCTAGAATTATTGATTTCGATAATCTACAAAAAAAGTCTTAAATCTACCACAACTAGGCCTAATAAAACTGAACCTGCAACATTTTCAATTTTCCCGTTTGGAGTTCTTTGTCTAGGAACTTTCTTCTATTTTAGGTGATCTTGATATGTTGTCTTTATTTACTCACTCCTTTGCTGAGGAAAACTAAAAAGAGGTTATAAGTCACCTATTAGGATTCTGACTACTTGTACAAATATCAGAAGACTGACATAGTAATGATCTCATTTGCCAATACCGAGCATGGTCATTTAGTGGCTTAATTAAACAGTCTGCAAAATTGTAGACTTTGAAATTTCACATTTGAAATGATTTAAACAGTACGAATCGTATATATAAATAATTTCTTGATAGATCAAATTAATGTATTGAACCCAGTGAATTATTTCTTTACATTGCAATTCATTATGGTGGTTGATTTGTGCCAGGTCCTATTTTCGGTCCGCAGAGCGCAAGAGAAAAACACGCAAATATGAGTATGTGAACACTTTGTCGTAATATACCAACGATAACTTTGTCTATATTTCGTGCTTTCGCATTTTGCTTCCAGGTGGCGCCATATGAAATAACGAAATCACAAAAACGCAAAAAACGACAAACTGATCACTGTGTCATAATTTCGTGTTTTCGCCTTTTCAATTTAGTTCATATTAACATATAACGACGAAAATCAGAGCTTGCATTCACAACTGCGTAGAATCCTACCAAATAAAAACAAACGCCGCCATCTTGGAACTCAAGAAGAATTTTTTGTGTGTGTATTACTCTTTTTGTTGGAAATGACTGAACATCAGATATATATGTTTTAAGACGCTCCACAATTTTCGCTTTTTTCTGGTAGTTGTTCCTTGCACAACTGTTTTTGTAAAACAAAAGTTTTAAGCGAACTTGCAACTCGAAGTGGGTCAGAATTTTTATGAAGTTTTGTGGGTACGGCGCAGTTCAAATTACTAGTACTTGATCCATCGGTTTCACCTTCAAATCAATTATATACCTGTTTCAGAGATTACTTTAAACTTCGAAATATAATTTTTCATCATTTACTCAAATTTCATTATTTTTTATTTTCCAAGAAAATAATGATTTGAACGAAATGATACAGCGCAGTTGAAAAGAAAAATTGAATATGATACAACGCATTTGTAAATTCGGTGTTAGCTAAATATTGGTTCAGCTGTTAAATCATGCGCTTAATATGCTATTTACAACATTTCTTGTTTGCGAATTGTTGATCATTATGAATGCGCACATGTAATCTTGTATAATAATAATAATAATAATATAATATATAATCTTGTAATCTTTAAGCAATAGCAGTGTCCACAAAAATTGAAAATGTACTAACAACTGTATTAAGTCTTCCTTTTCGGTTCCTTTTTAAGCACCTATGATAAGCATCTACAAAGTCCAAAAAGTTTATCTAATGTTAAATATATCGAAACACTTGATCGCACACCTTTATGTTCAAATGTTGCCTTACCATGCTTGTAAGTTCCAAACATTATTTTGTCAAGTAGGTGTCAGTTTTGCAAAGGCACTTTACGCTTGGCAACGATAAACTTGATACGGGTATATGCGCGACATGCTGTTTCAATAGTATTGTAGAGTCTTTTCAAAGAGTTAGGTCAGATTATCGCATTGAGTCTTCCATAGACTTAAAACATGACATACATAAAATTTGAGCTATTATACTTTAGTACGATTTTTCTATGATAATGAATTACCTGACATATAAACAATATTCTTTTCTTCAGAAAATAATTTCAAAGGAGATAACCCTCTGTTAATATTGAAATTTCTTCTGCTCTTCACAGCACTGATACGTTTATATATTTTTTATTATTTTTTTTAAAATGTAAATATCAAATCAAAAAGTGATCTTAGAGAGCAAGGCAATATTTTATTTCAACAAAAAAAGTTATTCTTTTTCTTATAAATTCACATTTTTTTAATCTTAAAATTGTATACCAAAATTTTATAAAAAATGCTTATTTGTACAGCTGACATTATACAATAGTTCACAAATTGTGTTGAAAACAATTCTAACCCGAGGCTAAGTTTTATCTACGCTGAACTACTGTGAATTGTAAAACCACAAGGGACTTTTGATTCTTTTTTTGTGGAAAACCTAGCTAGCTTCAAAGCGTCGATGGGTCTCTGCAGGTGCAATATTTGAGGTCCTTGCCTCAAGTAGAGAATAAAGAGTGCAAAAATAAAACCACACATTACCTTGTAGAACTACAGTTTACTAAGAGTGTAGCTAGCCAAACCGAATTTTGCGATTCGAGTTCATAGAAATTTATATCTTTGCTAACAAATATAGGATGATATTTAAGATACAGGACAATAAAATAAAATTATATGAGATATTATGATGAATTGATTAAAAGGTTCATGTTTATCTGAAAAGTATCTTCTGCAATGTAAACTTTCAAAACAAGTATTATATTAGAAATGAAACATAGCACTAAGTATTCTTTATACTCAAAAGATACAAAACATTGCTTTAAACTGTGAATGATCTTTTTCATCAAGCACAAGTGATTATTCATTAAAATAGACTTATATATTGCCACAATTAACCCTGTTGAAAACACTGCCAAAACTCAACTGCTGATTATCATATTTTCTATTCAACTACGTCGTATCATATCGTACAAATCATTATTTCCTTGGAAAATACATATCTCTTTTTAATGAATGTGAGTAAATGATGCAAAATTATATTTTGAAATTTATAGTAAACTTGGAAACGAGTATATAATAGTTGGAAGGAAAAAACGATGGAAAAAAGCAATATGAACTGCGTCGTATCCACAAACTTCATAACATTTCTGGCCGGCGTCGAGTTGAAAGTTCGCAATAACTTTTGTTTTACAAAATTATTTGTGCAAGCAACATACACCGAATGAAGCGGAATAATGTGGAAAGTGTTAATACATATATCTGGATTTCAATCATTTCCAACAGAAAGAGGAATAAACCAAAACATTTTTTTTTGTTCTAAGCTTGCGCCGTTAGTTTACATTTGATAGGATTCCACGCAGTTCTGAATCCCAGACTTGAAAAACTTTACAGTTTAAGCTATCTAAATAGGTACAAAATGATCCGTTCAATTGTTTCCTCGTCGGAACCTATTAAACAGTATAAATATATTCATTTAATTAAAAATGTAATGGAAATATGACATTATTAAATTTCACCATACAAACTAAACAAAAACATAGCTTTTTATTTATTATGTTCCAGACACTCCAGCCTGCTTTTCACTAGATTTAAATGGACTCTCTAATATTAGACAAGAACTGTGCAATACACCAAGTATGTTTCTTACATCCCTTTCTTATTTGAATCACCTGTTAAAGTCGGAAGAGTTCGCAATTCAAGCCGGAAAACATCAAAACATTGAAATCACCTTCATCGATTTCTGCATTGCGTGTTTTAGATATATAGGCTTAGGTAAGTTAATTATAATATACAAATATATATTGTTGTTTTTTTTGTTTTTTTTTTTTTTTTTTTTTAATTTTGTGTAAATGAATATAGATGGATGCTTGTGTAAAGTAAATGCATATTGGTAACACAGTAACTTTTGATGTTCAATTTGTCTTTATTTTTAACTTAACGCAACAATATTTACATGTTTAAATATGTTTAAGTATTCTTTTCAGACTTTATAGTCCGTCCGTCGGTCCATCCATCCATCGATCCATCTATCCAATCCATCTATCCTATTCAATTTTCATAAAAGCAAAAACAGTATTTTTTTAAGTAATTTTGCACTTTAGGAAAAAAAATCTACATCCTTATTTCCATATTTCTATATATAAGTTTCATAAAGATGTTTTGAAAACTTTTTGAGTTAATACGGGATCCATACGGACGTACAAATAGACGTACGGAATACTTATAAATCTAATTATCAAATTTGACCAGGAATCTTTCCCTTTCCTTGGAACTGTGTCTGCTTTTCTATAGTACAACTAAGAATTAATTCACTATGAGCTACTCTTTTTTTTTTTCATTCCTATATTCTGAACATAGAATATATCTGAGAAAGTGTCTTCACCGAATACATTTCTGGATAGTTAAGCCCTCCGTCCGAGCCCCAACCTCCATGCTGATGTCAGAAAATATAGTATGTGCATGTGTTTTTTTTTTAGTTCTATTAAACAAGTATCTCAAAAAACACAAATATATGATTTTACACATGTTTCGTGTCGCTTACACAATCAAAACAAATATACGGGTGACTTTTCTAACTATGGGATAATCTTAAATGGTTATCTAGTACTTGAACAGGAATCTTAATGTCAATGTGACCTTTGAAAATGCATTTTCGCCAAAGTAAGAGGGCCTTTTCCGATAAGGGATATAATTTTATCAATATTATAGGCTACTGGTTGAATTGTTCTTTTACATTTAAGGTCATTGGGACATTGGCTTTTATGCATCGACGCCGCCTAAAACAAAAGTGGCTATTTACATAATAAAGTGATAACTGTATGAATATTGAGACTCTTGGTCGGAGGGGTTTTTGGGTATAAAGCATAAATGTTTTTTTTTACATTCAAGATGCTCACCTTAAGGCTTGCTTTTATATGTCATCGCTTATAAACAAAAAAGGGTATGTTTCTTAATAATGGTGATCATCTTATTCATAGCCTCTTTCCTAATTGTGAGGATTTTGTTACTATAGTAACCATAATAATTTTTAGAATTTGCTCATTTTATTTATACTATAGGAACACGTTGGTTCTAAAAGTGAGATTTTGGTGCACCATTAAGCGGTTCAACCCGCCGCCTATGTTCCTAAGATGTTTTACTTGTATATTGCTATCTATGACGGCACTTTTGTTTCCCTCTTTGTTTTTGGTAAGTTTAAGTCCCTTTTCCCTAGTTTTCTTTTATTCGATTCTGCCCCATCCAACCGTCTCCCCGGCCCTCTGTTCCCTTCAACTACGTAATTGTCATTTTGTTGACCTTTAAATCAAGTATTTTTATTTCGATTTCTATGATATCTTAAACTTTTAATTATAACACCCTGTCCGTGGGTTGCCATTGTATCCTGCTGCATTTCTGCCGGTGGTCCTTTGTTTCTATGTTGTGTTTCGGGATGAGTTCATTGAATGCCACTCGTCCTCGTTATCTTTGGCTTCATATTGTGACATCATTGAACTCGCCCAATAGAATTCAGTTATTGATTTAACAATGTATAGTCACTTCATATTATATAACAGTGTTGCTTTTTCTAATTAACCTGCTTTAAAACTGATTTAAAAGTATACTAGGAAGCAATTTAAGATGCTAAATATTGATGTAATCTTTTGTCTCTGTAACCGAGTTGTTTTATATAATTATATCTGCTTATGACAGATACAGGTGAACTTAATCAACATTGATTTATAATTATCAGCATATTCAATATTTTATAAATACCAATTGGCTGTCGGGTTGATAGAAGATATTGTCAACCCGAGAACTGGTAATATACCAGTTCAAAGGTTGGCAATATTCTCTATCATCCCGATAACCATGTGTAACTTATTTTGTTATATACTTACAAATGATATATTGAAAAATATTGATGAAATAAAATGCGTATTTTCATTTTCCGTATTTTCACTGTTAAATTGTTTTTTCACTGCAGTGAAACTCATTTTCCGTATTTTCACTGGTGTCTTGTCGGACTACTTTCTTTTAAATTATGCCAATACACAAAATTTAAGGGAAAGTCTTTCAAATTTTAATGTCAAAAAAAAAAAAGAAAAAGTGTATATAATACACAGAAAATTCAAGTTTTTTTTATAAATACAAGATTTATTTTCATTTTGTGGCATGAAAATTACCATATTTCACTCGTGGCTACCGCCACTCATGAAATATTTATTTTCATACCACTCGATGAAAATAAATCATGTATTTATAGACAAAATTGAATATCCTCTATATATTATACCGTACGATATTGTAACAAAGTCTAGTGGAACTTTAAAAAAATGCTAAACATGGAGTGATGCAAGAGTTATGTGCCAAAGGTGATATAAGAAATGTTCCCCGGGGTACATATCCTAGGAGGATGATATTGTAACAAACTCTAGTTAAGGTGACAACAGAAACTTTCCGTGGTACTACCATAAATGTCATTTAAACCAACATATTTAAGTAATAATTGCTATTTATTTAAATCTTGTTCTTTAAATGTCTTTGATCTTCATAAGAATTAACATATTTGAAAGCATGCCTTTGTAAATATTAAATTTTGAACAAAAATCCTATTATTTTGAATCGTCCTATCAAAGTCATTCTTTACTTTTTTGTCATCAAACATTTGCAAAATAAGCATAATTATGATATCTAGGGAAATGTGTCTCAGATTATTTCTGTCTTTTTTCAAAACAATATTACGTATCGTCAAACATATTACGTAATTAAAGATAAGTAAGTCACTGATTAAGCTAACAGAAATCCTATTCAAAGTAAGTCCGACTCGCATCAAACGAAGTGTCATAAATCGGCTGTTCTCTCTCACGCTAAATTATTGCATGACACGCAAATATCGCACCAAAGGGGGTCACAAGTTGCTCTTACATGCTCTAACAACTTTTTTATTACCCAGTCACATCTGACCAATTAAAATGTGTTTGATAAATATTATTTTAAAGCAGAAATTTCTTACAATCTTAACGTGATATACTGTCCCATCTTGTATCTGTCTCAGATGTCACGAGACTATTGGTAAAATTTGAGGCACTCTGTGGGAGAAAATGGAACGCATGTAACCAGCGCCCGCCAGCGGGATAATTTATTTGTTTCACTAACGAAGTTTATAATTATCATCATCATTACATGTATTATATTATATCAGTGTCCCGCTGCCTGTGTATTCGTGTATGGAATTACGATAGATATAAATTCATTTAATAATTAAACTTACGAATAACTGAGCTTAATTAAGAATGGGATATTATATTTTTTTGTCCGACCAATTCAAATAAATGCCTGACATATTTTAATACAAATAAAAGACATCACTCGATCAATATGATCTGACCTTGACTTTTATTATCATGAATATTCATCTATGAACGGCATAGATCTCAATTCAGTTTCTTCTGGGAAATACACTTAATAAATTTCATTCTTTGTCACACGTTTATTAGTACTGTGTTAGATTTACTGGCGAACATAATATTCAAAACATTCACTAAAAATATATTGCAATATCTGTCCGATATATTTTTCTATCGAATCATAGAGAAATATCATCCGCATATTATCTTAAAATATTTTAGAAATTTGTCATCACCAGTCATATCTATAAACGTTTACATAAAAATGTTGTTTGTTTCTTTTTATACTGTAAGAAAACTAGATTGAATGTAAAGCAAGCTATTGGATCCGTACAATTGTCCATAAACTCAATGTAATGTCTATCAGATTACTTGACAAACAAATTATTATTTCACACATTATTGATATAATAGGCAGCTACATTGTTTTAACCACCCCCATGGTCGTGCGATTTGCCGCTATTCTAAAGTGTTTATGTTACATCTTGGCCAACTATTTCTTAATTTATTAAAAGGCTAAATAAAAGGAAGACGATTAATGTCGAGATATTCATAAAAGATGTACAGTATTTGTACTATACATGTATTACGAGTAGTATTGTCCGGTATTCACGGATATAAGGCACTGCCGATTTCCCTCATTGATGCCTTAACAGGGGGCGGAGCGTCATCGATAGTTGACAGGTTGCGCGAATAGCAGATAAAAATGGTAAAGGTACCGTTTTAAAACATTTAAAACACATTTTGGGGCTAAATTCTTCCAAAATTAAATTACGAATGTGTTCATAAAAGGTTGATAAATATACTAAGCAAAACATTCTCATGTTAGGTATTTTTAGTGATAATTCACTTCGTTGTCACCTTTAACTTAAAAATATGCTGAATATGGAGTTATGCAAGTGTTATGTGCCCCAGGATTAAATAAGAAATATTACCCGAGAAATATATCCAATGAGGGTGATATTCAATCTGAACACATAATAGGCATATCGGATTAGTACATTGAAAGATATACATGTATTAAATATAATTATTTAAAATATTGAGATCTTTGTGCAGACTAACGGTTTTTAATTTTCATCAGCCGAACTTGTAAAATGTTATACCCCTGTAGTGAACATCATTTAAAGTGTCTCTATTTGCTTTCATCGACTTCTTGGATCCGTTTTATACCTTTCTATGAATTATATGAGAGAAATGTCCTGAAAGTTCAATAAGATAGACGAAGTTAAATGTGTTATGATTTAAAATTGGTTTCAAACAGTTAAGTTCAATAACCCTATGCGAATGGGTTTGCATTTTTGTCGTTCTTTGTAACCAGTCCAGATCATGAGATTCATTCAAATTCTTTGAACAACGTCTTGTATACTTTCATTAAAAATGAAATTCTTTTAAATTTATGTTTGCAAAGTTAATCATTTTATTACCCCCTTGTGACTGAGGGGTTACCTTTATCTAATTATATTTGTTTGCAAATATAGATATACATCAATTAATTTACTTCTACAAAATTACACAACATATATAAGGATCGGGCCAAAAGTTTTTACAACATTATTGTGGGATCTTCCCTATTATTGTTTAACATCAGTTCTATAAAGTAAAGATAGTTTTACAGTGACAGGCTTGCCTTTTAAGTGTTGAGGCATCAGAATTGTAGCCATCAGAATTTGTAACTTTTATCCCTGTGGGATGGTAAGAAAGGAATAAATGGGTTCGATTTCCTGGAGTCTATGCATCTCTTAGCCGCAGAACGTTAGGTGGTCTTGACCCATGGTGTTGCTTAAAGATTGTTACACCCGAGGTTTGCCAAACTCATGTTTCCATATCTAAGTTGTGTTGGTTCGCCGTAAAACAAAATTCTTTTAGATAGTATAATATTGTATTAAAACAGACGAATCAAGATCATACTTCTGGATAGAAGACCTTGGTGAAAACGTCGAAATTTGCTCTACGTATCAACCACCACAGACATACAAATCAAGAGGTTCAAAAATTTATTTGCATTACAAACCCGTTGAAGATCCAAAAATAAGTTATATTGGCAAAAGGGTAGAGGGCATTGAAGGATTTCGGCTGCAATATAAAATATCAGAGCATTCGTTTGAAAAGTATACTACTGAGGTGAAAGGAATTGATTCAGCAGGTTTAGCAGGTACATATTTCAATATATAGCGAATATAAAGCAACGAACATTGTTTCCACTGTAAACGAACTATTCTATCAAAAGCCATTTATATGTGACGAATGCGCATTTTTTTCGTTGGACTGAATTAACTATTTTATATGTATTGAAATGTCATTTATGAAAACTGCCTAAAATATTTTTCTTTATAAATTAAACTCTGTGAGTCACTTGGGTTGTTGATTATGCACATAGACTTAGAATATATAATTGAATTCAAGTGCTGTAAAAATCTTAACTTATTTGGACCTGTATGCCTTTGATTTACACTTGGATGCCACTTCAATGACAAATATAATTTTGAAAAAGGATTCTATTATTTCCTTCTTAAGTAGAGTATACGATATTTTAAGGAGAACGCTTTTTTAACAGGTAATTATTCATAATTTATTCAGGAAACAGCGTTAATTGCATGATACATATTTTCCAAGGAAAGAATGAATGAATTCTACTGTTTCTATCTTTAGCTTGTGCAAGGTTTTTCAAAAAGTGCTACTTCATATTATCTGAAAAAGTTTCATGGAATTATGCCAGCAATAAATGTCTTGAGCGCAATGAACATCTTGTCACTATAACATCAAAAAAAGAAATGAATTACATCCAGTACTTACTTCGCAGTCTACTATACAAACAACGTGCGATGCTGATGCATGGAGTAAATGAACATATTAATCCTGGAGCATTTATTGGTAAATCTTTATTCAAAATATGTAATGTTTTCAGAATAATTTAAGCATTATTTTAATTTTGATTTAAAGTTACATGCTTGAAATTTCACAACGCGGGTGATTTAGAGTTAATGACCTGTTACATGTTCACAAGTTTTTACAATTTACTTTATTCTCAACATATTCTCTTGATTTGTTTAAAACCACAAAGAAGGATTTTTTTAATCACCCAGAATAGTAATAAATGTACTTAAACGACACTGAAAGACTCTCAAGCCGACTATCACTATATCACTATAGGTATAGTATTTTCAAAAGAATTTATTTCACTTTATTATCCCCGTATTGTTGTCTGTCCGTGTGGCTGTTCTTTCAAACAAGTTTTATGTCCCTCCATCACAAAATTTTCATCACGGAATTAAATTGGGGATACAGATTAAACTTTTGAAAGCAAAAGTGATTTCTTATTGGAATTCTGTTGCTGTGTTTTTTCCTTTTATCTGTAGCATTACTGTATCTTGAAGTCATGTCTTTTTTAGTACTGCTTATATTGACATAAAGGAGACTTCCCAAACGGTTACACCGGCACTTTTACGGGGGAATAACTGTTACACGAGTGATGGAGTTCTTATAATAACTTGTTAGGAGTTCTTGTGAAAGCTGTCACGGAGTTCGTCGGAAAACTTTTGCATAAACTACAAAAACGCTCGTCAAAATGACAATTTTCATCTTTTTAAAGCGAGTTTTAGGTGTTAAATTAAACTTTAATGATTAAGCTTGCCATACATTTTGTATCATGTGTCAAAAACTTATTCATATGCCATTTTTCATCGTCCCTTGCTAAAAACCTTGTCGTCCCTTGCTAAAAACCTGATAGTTTTGAGTTAAATTTCCATATAATTTGCAAATACGCACCTATTGACTTGTTTATTTCTGGTCTTCATCCTTGCCATACATAATTACTAAATTATAATGCAAAATTGAAAACATGAAGCCACAGCTAACAAATTTATACCTCATTTATTAATTGTCCTGGAGTTATGATAACTTCCCAGCAGGCACATCAACGTTGTTTCAACGTTGAATTATGGTCAGATTTCAACGTTGAAATAAAGTTGGATTTATATTCGGATTTGAAAGTTGAAACAACGTTGAAATTTCAACGTTGATACAACGTTGCAGCTTCAACGTTGGTACAACGTTGAAGTTTCAATGTCATTTCAACGTTGAAAACCCACCATACTTTAATTTTTGGATATAAAGCAAAGTTACCAAGTTTAACAAAATATCAAGACAATATTAAATACTTCAGATATTTTATTTAAAAAATACAGTTCAAGTGCAGCTTAAATTCACTTAAATAGTTTTAATAATTAAGCTACAATCTGTTCCAATCTTTTTTCTAGATCTTTCTGGGTTTGTCAAGTGTTTGAGTACTTCTTTGGCTCTGCAAATAAAAATAAGAAGTTGTTGACTTGGTCAATCTCAAATTATACATATAATTACTCAAGTTAGTGATTTGTTAAATCTTAAAATGCTTTTCTCTAAGATTTACATCATAAAACAGCATAGAAATTGAAACATAGCTAAGTTTCATATTGACAGCAAATACTGTATATAAGACAACAAAATCTTTTTAAAAAGAAGCTATTCAAAAGTCTCACCTATGATTGGTAAGAAAAACTGCTCCCCGTCAGTTTCCTTGCATCATATTCACAAGAAATTAACATTCTAGGATCTAGCTAAGACCATTTTATGCAGCATCCTGAAATCAACAAACATGTAATTTTTTTATTAATTATGTTACAGGAATATTAAAAAATAATATATTTTAAGACAAGATAAATATCCAGTAGTTGAAAAATTTATACTTTGTATTGTAAATAAATTCAAATTTATAAATTAATAAGAATTAATTACAATTTAACAAACCTGACAGTCCTTTTCATGTTGAGTGTAAGGTACACAGGCTACAATTGCAATACTCTAAATTTCAGCCAGGACCAGGATATAAAAATATATATAATAAAATAGAAATAGATTTATTATTCCCTATAAATTTACGACTATTCAACTTTAAAGTTAAACACTCAACTTTGTTATTTAACTTAATAATATTTTTTTTCAAACTAATTAACACTGTATTATACTATCACTAAAATATAAACGTAGACATTGTTATAAATATTGTCTTGGGACGAACATTATGTGGGCCGAACTACTTAATAGGTTTCAATTTTATAATTGATTAAATTCTAATTAGGATAAAGTAGAGACAAATGTATAATATGAAAAATAAATTAAAGAAAGACAAGATTTGTAAAATCATAAATTGCCAAGGACATCAATAACTTCATGCTTACAAGGCCTACCGAACCCAAATCATTCAATTAGGTCGCGAAAACGTGTCAAATCAACTCAATCGTGTGTTTTCATCTCTCATTTATTTCATAAAGTAAATTAAAGTAGAATTTTAAGAATAAATAATAATATGTTAGAAAATAATCAGTAAACTAAAGTAAAACATTATGAATACCTTCGAAATCCAAATAAATTGCCAATCGTGTTGTTTTCAAATTTTGCACACAGCGCCACCATTTCCACGAACGATACTCATAGACAAGAAACAAAATCATAGACCGCAACAATTACTTCCCCTGACCAGCGGTATTTTATAAACGGGGGTTTGACAAATAACAATTTATTAATTAATATTATTCATAAAGAACTAAAAAATATAACAACAAACAACAAAACATATTAACTAACATTTAAAGCGTTAATATAAAGTGAAAAATTATTTCCAACTTTATTTGTTTAAGCGCTAATTTTGAATATACGGAAAAAGATTGTAACACAAATTTTCCTGACAAAAATCACTTACAGACTAATTCAATAAAGGAATAATAACATAAAATTAGTGGTATAAAGGTTTATATAATGATTAAACTAAATGTAAAACTTCGACCATAAACAACGTTGAATCAACGTTGTATATACATTGGCAATATATCCGTATGGTCGTCCATAGTTGAATATTGGTTGAACAACGTCTCGACCATATTTCAACGTTGTTTCAACGTTGAAACAACGTCAAGTGCCTGCTTGGTTTAGATACTGCCAGTGTGTTTCTTGTGCTTAATCACGACACGTTTTAGCGTTTTATATTATTCAATAAGGTTTAAAATCATTATAAAATATAGTACGCTCATCCTTTGCACAAACATATGGATGAAATGTTGGTCTATAGTGTCTGCAAAAGACATCTTTATCATCTCTAGTAAATATTGTACAAGGTAAGCTTTTAAAAAGGCTAGTAGCGACTAGTAGTGACCTCTTTTTCGGCCCCCAACCAAAAGATACATCAGGGGGTTGCCAGAAGGGGGGTGTTCCGTATTCTTTTTAGGGTTTTTGAAAGGGTCGGCAGTCTCCCTCATCGCCAAAACATTTTTGGACTTGTCACAGGCTAAAAATGACCCCAGATCGATCATAAGGTAACGTGTAACAAACGCTGAAAGCATTTGACTCTATCTCAATCCATTAAGAAGTTGCAGCACTTTGAAATCAGTTTTGATGGAACAAATCTTTTTTGTTATCAATTATGTTAAGTATATCTTATGATCTTTTCTAAAAATATATTTAAATACATGAACATAAAATTTATCCAAATATTATATAAACAAAAACTTTGATTTTTTTTCCCTATTAGGCATATAATTACTTCCTCATTTTAATTTTGTTAATAAATAGCTCTAAATATATTTAAATCTTAAGTTAATTTACCATTCATTTCATATAATAAAAAATAAAAAAGTTATCGTTCAATTGCCTTTCACTACGACAATAATCAACACAAATATAGTATAGTTTATTCCTTTTCCCTATATATCTTATACTATCACGGATCCCGGGCGTCCCGGATCCCGGGATTTCCACCGCCATGGTAAAATGACCGGAAAAAAAGAAAAAGAAAAAAAATGCACAGAACTAGATGAACACTTATGTTAATTAACCAAACGAAAACTTACTACAGAGAAAACAGGTGAAATCGCTAAATCAAAAGTCAGTGTAAATATGATTTATTAAAAAGAACTCATGAAAACAAACCTTTTAATCATTATTATGATGTATACAAATTGATAATCTCCTGTATGTTTTTACATTTATGTATTTTAATAGTTTAAATATGTTAAATTTATATTGTTCCTTGTTGAGGGCCTCATTGAAGATTGATATGTTTGTTCAAATGATTTCTCTCGTTAAATAAAATCTTTATTATTAGTATAATTATTATTATTATATCTTTGCGCTCAAAGCAATGTTTGCTGCTTTTTAAAAATAGCGTGAAATTGAAGGTTTTTGACGCTATGTAAGATTAAATTTGATTGGCTAAATAATTTTTGATTCCATCCCTGACAGATACATTTTGTAGAAAGCTGGAAGCCAAGCTTCGATTAAATTTTTGGGTGGATTTGGAGTTTGAGGTTGTTTCTCAGTAAAATCCTAACGTAATACCGGCTCGCCGTGGCGAGCCGGCATAAGCGGTCACCGATATTCAGCAGTATCAAGGCTTAAACCGCAAAACAAAACATTCTCAAAACGTACACGTTGTTTTCAGTTACCCATGTTTTAAGCAACCACCTTTCTTAAGCAGTCAATATATAGTTGTGCTTCCCTTATCTAAGGGCTTAGTATAAGCAAGTATTTAACTAGGATAATATCCATACCTATGTTTCAAAAAAAGTAAAGTGCGATACATAATAAAAACTCAACTGCGGTTAGCTCTAACTACCGATCTCTCGAACAAAATTTGCACGCCCCTCGTGTTCGAGCGAACTAAGTTTGACTAAATATTTTTGTTACCAATACAGCAAAAGTAGCAGAGTTTCATCCACTTAGATTACAAAGGGGAGATATCCATCACACATCGACAACAAATTGTATGTTAATGTTAAAATATAAGAAACGTACATGGTCTTACTCCCGCACATCTGGATAAGTATTTAAAGCAAGCCATGCTCACTCAGTTTGAAGTAGAGTAATTCTAAAGATATTGCATCCAATTTCTAGTTTACTTTGATTATGTTTAGCAAATATCTTCCGCAAGATGGAGAGTCCTGTAAGTCAAGTGATGCTACAGTGGATATTACAAAGACAGAAAAAAGTTCGATCAACAGCATGACTCCTTAGATGACTCACATCTTAAATTAAATATTTACTTTGTATTGTCATATAATTTGAGACGTGTATAATTTTCATAGAATTGTCTACGTCTTTATGGCAACAGTTGATACATTTTAGAAATTTAATTTAGAACGTAAAATACATGAAGATGACCCAGCCCATTATATTTGATATAAGTAGTGCATACTACTTCATTTTTTTGCTGCAAACTATTTTAATTTGTTTTGCTACTGCAGACCGATAGGATGGTTACTTAATGTTCTCTAAAATGCCAGGAATAATAATATATAATTTTTTAGAAGGTAACACATGGAAATATGTATTTAATCGTAGAAAACAAATAACATATCTTAATTTTAAATGTGGCCTTTTTCACAATATATAAAAACACAGAACATCATAAAACAATATTAACTATTCCATTTAGATTTGATTTTGCCCTATAACTTTGTTTCACAAACGCTCCTTTAAATCATTAAATATCATTTATACAATTTCAATTTACATATTTTTTTAACATGATCAAGTATTAAGTATCACGTAAGTTATCACGTATGCTATACATCAATCTTTTTCCCAATCAACGAAAACTGCGAAAACTGTGTCTGCAAAAATACTATAAAATGAAACATTGCACAAGAAACAGGGGTACGAACTAATATCTCTTGAACTAAAATACACTTATTGAACCGACATTGTATATCCTATTTTTGTGCAAAGGATGGGCGTATTGCATTTCATAATGATTTACAACCTTATTGAATAATAAAAAAACGCTAAAACGTGCCGTAACTTACCGCAAGAAGTACACTGGTCGTAACAAAATTATGATTAGAACTCAAGGACATGTTCAGAGTTATCACCAGAACTTAAGGACATTTGAAAAATCGGGTATGAATTTGTTAGCATGGGCTTTATGTTTAAAATTTTGCATTATAATTAATTCTGTATGGCAAAGATGAATACAAACAGGCCAATAGGTGCGTATTGGCAAATAATTTGGAAATTTTACTCAAAACTACCAGGTTTTTTCAAAAGGCGATACAAATGGTCTATGAATTAGTTTTTGACACATGATACAAGATGTGCGTCAAATTTTATCATTAAAGTTTAATTAAGCACCTAAAACTTGCTATTTTTAAAGACAAACAATTACGAGTTTTCCGACGAACTACGTGACAGTTGTCACAAAAACTCCTGACAAGTAACTATAAGAACTCCATTCTTCGTGTAACAGGTCCTCCCCGTTCATTTGGAAACCAGATTTAATCACTGCGTAGGTCACGACAGGCTCCGGAAAATGGTGCTTTTAATAAAGATGTTAAAAAGTACCGCTTCGACTAGCGCCCATATATTTTTAGTTGTACCTTACATTGCAGCAGAGGGCAAAATACAAAGCAATTGATCCGGCCCATCTACAACGAAGTCAGACAAATGAATACCTGACTTTGGCCTCCTGACGATGTAAAATTTAAATATTCAAAGAAATTGTCACACGTGAAAAATCATTCATAAATCTTTGACCTTTGTCCGTCTGTTAGTCCAGCGGCCGTCTGGATACAGTACGTCAGGGAGTTGAATCGATAATAAAACTAATACCATTTTATTTTGGAACCTAAAATTTTTATGTGGAAACATCTCAATTAGAAAAAAGATCCTTCCTTAACACTTATTACTCTGTTCCGCAAATTTGGAAAACTTTTTTGAATAGTAACTTAATTAAAATAATGTTTAAAATAATGTTTAAAAGAAAATTTGACATTGCTCTTCTGTACATAAAGTTTGACATTTAAGAATGAAGGTTCCAAACTTTTGTCAGCACTGATTATTCATGCTTTGAACAGTGACTGAAATTTACAAAGGAATGTTTTAGCTAAATCCAAGTGAAAATATTTTGACATCTAAAACAAGGTTCCGAGAATGTTTGATCTGGTTCAACGTCAAAACCATAAACTAACATTTCTTTGGTGACAATTTAGGTAACAATGTAAACATGAAGCAAATTGTAAATAAAGACCTTGATCAACAGATTAATGTAAGGGTATTAAAATGACAGGAAGTGTCAAGTTTGAAAAAGTAAATCACGTATGTATCATTTCACCGTCACTTGGGTTTACACTACGCCATATAAAGGTGCTGCAACTGAAATTGAAACTGATTGGTCAAATTTTACACCTTGTTCATATCAACTTCTTTCTGTTGAATCATGGTAAAAACGGTCAAATTAATTTCTTTTAATGCCAATCATTTAATAACAAAGGATTCTACAATTGGTAGGAATGTACCTTAGTTGGTCTTCGTCTTATTATGGAGTTTAAAATCATTAGGTTCAATGTTAAAGACATAATATTGATAAAATGGTAATAAACTATGACTTATGAATTATTTTCATGAAATTAAAAAACGTTAAAACTGTGTTGTTTCACTCAATTTATAGTTGATGATCGAAAGAGTTTCTTTTTAAAACCCTTTTTATAATGCCTATGAAAAAGAATTAAAATGTTTTGCCACTATATATTATATTGTAATTTAAATTAATTCTTTACAAATTAGCAATAATTTAAAAGATGCATTTGTACAACTTCATATTTTCCCGCACAGGCGCTTTTGAAATTACATGTATCCCTTTTCAAATTTCAAACCAAACATTTGTTTAGCGCAGGCAGCATAGATATGTACATTTGAAATTGAAGGGGTTGATGACTTCGACAATAAGAGCAAATCTTGAATATCTTGATAAAGTGTGATCCCTCGGAAATATTACTTAAAATTTGCTAACTCGGTTTAGCTGCGTCTGTACATGAGGGATTATATCCATCACGCCTATATCTAAGGCCATACATTCTATCCGAAAAATATTACATTCTAATAAACTATTTAATATTAAAGATGCCTCTGTTAATCAAAGATGTGGCCACATGATTGAATAATATAGGAGCATTGAAACAACTAAAGAGTGTTTGCTTTCGCTTCAATTTCAAATTTCCAAATAAAATTAGCTCTAAAGAAATATATTAAGTAATTAACCACAAACACACACGAATAGTATATTAAAACATTTGAAAACATTATTGTATTATAACAGTTTACTATATTTACATATAAAATTGAAATATATAATATTTTACTCTTAAATAATGCCTATTTCTAATTTCTTAAGGTTTACGGCGAGTAAAAGAGAAAAGAAGGAGGACGAGTTTTAACTGGATTAATGATCTCAACGTTACTTTCAGTGCTTGGTAATTATCTATTGTTATACTAAAAACAATTGTTGAACCAAATAATATCAAACTGTTTATAAATTGCTTCAACCCAGACATGCAAAGCATAAGCTAAATGACGTACGCTTGCAATGACAATCGTTTACCGACTGGATAAATACACGTTGTTTACGTATGGCAAAAAAACAGTGAACAATTCAAGAAATTATTCCATAACTAGAAAGGGAAGATATTCTTTTTTGTCACAGGGTGAGAAAATGTGCAGCCTAACCGGGACTTGAACCCGGGACCATCGGAATACCGTACCGCGGCTCTACTGACTGAGCTATCCGGTCACTTACACATCTTCTTCCCCTGACTAATGAATAGTTCTGAACCGTGACATACTCCCCTTCTTTATTGAAATTCGTCCTCGAATTTCAAAAAGGTACAGAGCAATGTGAATTAAACTCTGAGCTATTTTCAGTCACTGTTCCCCGTTGGGCGCCAAATGTCACAGGGTGAGATAGTTGTGCAGCCTGACTAGGACTCGCACCCTGGACTCTCGGAATACCGTACCGCGTTTCTACTGACAGAGCTTTCCAGTTGCTTCTACATCTTCTCTCCTAATTAGTGAACATTTCTAAACCGTGACGTGTTTGTTTTCAATGCTATTTTATCACTGACATATTGTTTTAAAAACTGTCTTCTGATAAAATGTACGGAGAATTCTGTGACAGTAAGATGTTTTGTGTTTGTGTGTGTGCAAGTGTATGCGAGAATTTGCGCGTGTGTGTGTGTGTGTGTGTGTGGGTTGGTGCGTGTGTGCGTGCGTGCGTGCGTGTGTGTATGTGACAGTTTCACTTAGTAGTAATTTAAAATGCTAGTTTTTATTACAAGGTTTGATATATGTGATAATTGCCAGATTTTATTTCGATGAATTGCTGATATGATATGATAATATTGAGTGAGGTTTGATTTTGATTTTGTAGGGGAATTGGACAACCTGCAACTGGAGATTGTACTTATATGTCATTCGAGCTTTTCAACACTGAAAAACTTTGGTCGACAGTAGATTGTTTTGATGACTTTGTCGATTTTTTCATCTGCGAGAAACCATTTTCTGAAGATGCGCTTCACACAAAAAGTATAATTTATAACATTTTATTAAATATGAAAGTTCAACAAGTCATACCAAGTATTTATTTTTTTAAAGAGACTAAATAAATTATAGTGTAATAAAATTCTAAACAATTAAATGTCTAGAACCGTTTTGTAGTTATATTGTTTTTGTGGATATTATAATATTTTCAAATTATGTTTTCGCTTCTTGCAAGTTTAAAATTGTTTTCTCATATGAAAACATTGCTTTGATAAGACATTCAAGTCATTAATTGTCATTGCAACAAACATGTTTATGACAAAATCTCTTTCAACATGTTCAAATTCATGTAAATCGTCCATTGTACAAGTGATTTAGAATTGGTGATATGGTGAATTGAAGTTTTTTGAAAAGTATATATCCGTTAAACATAAAAGTTTCATATCAATTGAATATAATTGGAAATATAATTTCTGAATAATTTTACTTCGCACATTAGGATTTTAAAACCCAATTTCGTGAAATTGATTGATTCTTTCTTCTACTGAGAACAACACACGGCTATCGGATTTCTCAGTGCGTGTCAGATAATCTTAAGTTCCAATGCTGTTCTGATGGATTTTAAATGCATTTAATAATTATTCATTTTAGCCGTTATCATGGAAAATGAATGTACAAGTATATATAGGAAAGAAGATTTCATTGTCTCACCATACTCTGGTAAAACTTGTAAAAGTTGGGAAAACCTGTCCGGCGAAGCTAAAATTGATTTTGACAAGAAGTTTTCTTCTTTGAAAACTTCTTTAAACGATTCGACATTGTGTAAAGATTTATCTTCAAATGGTATTCCTTGGTGTTATGTGAATGACCCGGGCAGATCTTTGCGGGAGCCGTGCTTCTTGAATGGCAAGTTATTTCTGTTTTGATTAGCATAAAAAGACAAAGGTAAACAGAGTTGATATTTTTTCTGACAAAATAGATTATTGCATGACATGAGTAGGGATTTTTTTCATTTCGATTCGGAAATATACAAATAATATTCACCTGAATATTAAAAAGCAACAAAAAAGAAAAAGAAAAATAATTTCAATTTAGCGGCACTACAATAGTTCCATGCCGATATGAAATTTCTTTTCTTTCACTTTTTTTTCGAAGACCATCAGATATACTAATTTACGTAGTGTTATTATCCAAATGTTAAATTAATCTTCAATTCGGCTACATAGAATGCCTGTATTTCACTTTTTTTTAATTGAATTTAGACACAAGTTACATCATTTTGCCCGAAAAGGAGTTGTCTAGCATGAATTGCTCCGATGGATCGTCAATACCGAAAGTGAACTGGTGTGATAGGAATTTTGACTGCACAGACTATACAGATGAACTGTCATGCCACATTGATATTATAGGTTAGTATATTATTGAATATAATCTACGTATTTATGAAATATTTCTTCATGTTAACATGTGGCCGCTTTTGCAAGATGGAGTCAATAAAATATAAGTTAAAGTATATTAAAGCAGTTGAGGCATTCTAAAATGTCAAAGAGTTAAACCACTTACATTTTGCCAATATTACATCGGTAAATGCTACTTTCGTTGACAATTTTTAGTGTATTGTGTTCTCATTTTTAATGACAGACCAATCCTGAACGAGCTTACATTTCACCATTTCTTTGAAGTCTCTTTTCTTTTAATCAACAAATACATTGACACTAGGGGCTGTTGTAGTTTAATTTGTCATTTATACAACATGACTTCTAAATAATACAATTTTCTATAATTTTGAGAAATACCTTATAATATAACTTTATATTTTCAATTTGTTCTTGTACAAAATGTTTTTTTCACGGGCTGTATAATTTCATTAAGAATATAACAATTACCATTGTGAGGAGAATTGCTAGTATTTTACTTCACAATTGCTTTTAGAATGTTCACAAAATATATCCAAAGTTTTGATAATTGTTTTGCGCCAACAGTCGGTGACTAATTTTCAACTTTCTTATATCCATTTTGAGAGTTGTAAATACGTATGAAGCATAACAAGTTCAGTTTCGATTTAATTCGAGGAATTGCTAATAATTTTCTACAAACAAAGAAGAAAGCATTACAACATAGATATATCGGAGGTTTACAGTTCCTTCAGAAAACCTTGTCTGTGGTATTTAAAAATATTTTTCACGGTAGCAATAGTTCGAATATGTCCTGTAATAAGTTAATGCTTGATTTCTTGATAAAGATTATTCAGATAAAGCATATAAATGTTGGATGGCGAAAAACATTTGAATGTCTCATTATACCAGAACTACACCCTATGTATTTGAAGTAACATAGTGGAACTACTTTCAATCTGTATTATCTCTAAGATGATTATAAATAATCAGTGAGATGATACAAACAGGTAACTACTACGCTAGTGATGAAGATGACTTCACAAAATAAGTTCAAAATAACCAAAATTTAAAAGGCACAAAAAATTCGACACTCAGTTTTTCCTTTTTTGGTTCCTCTTAGTGTATTTAAACATGAACGGTATTGTATCGGTCTATTCAATACATCAGATATATGCTTTATTGATATATATTTGGTTTTTAAAAACCACACGTCCCTTTAGTGAAAAAGCAAATATGTTATCGAATAAATGTTATTTATTAAGATGGAAGCATACAGAGAGAACACCCTAAAATGTTATTATTATTTTCATGATTGTGTCTGAAAATATTTTTATGGTCATTATTTAGATCACACTCTAACGAATACGGGAAAAACAATGATAAACACTCATTTACCAAACCGACTCAAACACGAGGCGTTTTACCGCTGTGAAAAAAGCAAGGAGTGGATATCTACATTAGCTAAATGTGATGACGTCATCGACTGTCTTGATGCCTCGGATGAAGTCATGTGTTTGCCGAGCAATAGTGATATTTCTTTGTCTTCCTATTTAGTCACTAAAGCACTAATCTTACTATTCATTTTGTCAATTGTCTGTAATTTGTAATTCGTTTAATGTTATTTAAAGTATATTATTCAAATTAACGAAAATATGTCAACACGATATGCCTTTATTATATTTGTTGATAAGTATTTATCATATTTGTTGATAAGTATTTGATGGTTCAACTGCTATTTATTATGATACTGAACTGTTACAGTACCGTAAACATTGTTTTATTGTTTTATGATTATTATCTGCTTTCGGAAAACGCAGTTGGATCTGCAATGAAATTATAAAGAACAAAACAAAACAATTCTTGTTTTACAATAACCTTATAATTCTGTAGCATGTGGTGACTATAAATTATCATGTGATGATGGACATTGTATACATCCGAATCAAGGCTGTGACTTCATAACAGACTGTTTGGACGGTACGGATGAAATCTGCGGTAAGAAAATTCAATTCAGTTATAAACATTATATAATATATAATTATGCTATATGTATTGATGGTACATATGTATCCAAACCCAAAACGAGCATTGTTGACACGGTGAAAGTTTTCAAAATATATTGTAGTAAGGCATATGGGGGTTGACTTTAAGTAATTTGCCCCTTAATTCAATGGGTTCATGTCCAGGGACGCTAAGGTGCCCGCTCATGCCTGTAGTAAACGGAAGGGCACTTGAGCTGCAACTCTCCTTTTAAAAGTAAAATGTTTCGACTTGTTCTGAAACCCCAACTAATCAATATTAAAGTATTTGAACAGTGCAGCCAAATATTCTTCCAACCAGTATGAGATAGACGGCCTCCGAAAGATTCTCAAAAATTCGCAAAAGATTAGCTTAAACCCTTGTCACACTTGGCTGCAAATTTGAGCGACACACTTTCGAACGGCATTCACCAGATAGCATGCCGTCGTTTTCTTGTCGCATGACTTTTCAACATTTTGAAAAAAGTCGTTTGACTTAATTTCTCAATGTATTCACAGAATCATAGATTGCAAACCTATCTCGTTGTGGTTTCCAGGAAATAAAGCAGCAGATGATATGAAGTTGGACACTTTAAGGCCTTTTAGAATACCGAAACTTGAATAAAGCCCTGTCCCATACGAGCCAAGTTCCTTAAAAGTTTTACAAGCTAAAGCCATTAAAAATAGACTCTTTCTTTCTTTACAAGCCCATTTGAGACATTTTCTTAAGAATGTGGACGGCACTTGGTCACAAAATTTCAAATACAGTAATATGAGCCTACCTTAATTTATCTGTGAAGAATGACTTAGAATGGCGACAAGCCCCCGTTTGATTCAAGTTACCTTCAATGGAAAGGCAAAACAAAATATAATCTTATGTTCTATATCATATGCTCACTCTTACCATGTTTTATAAGATTATTCATATTTCAACGGTGAGGAGTATCTTTATTAATTATATACAAAATTTATAAAGGGAACCTGTCAACAATTTCATTCAAAAATCGTCTGCGAAAAATTGGAAAGAGTGTCAATTATGCTTACCAAGTACATGTGTCGGGTACCAGTCCTGTCAAATTTCCTTCTTAATCTTTGTATTTCAACTCCGCTTAGGTCAAATTTTGACTTACCGAGACTCCTGTTTAGTCGAAAAGAAAATTTGGTCCCGACATATTTTTATTTCAATCAGTTGAAGTGTGAAAACAGCCGACTGATCAAAGGTCTGTGAAGTATGATATATAATGAAGATATTTAATGATGACAAGTCCCGTTTGACTAAAGCTACCTTCAATGAAAAAACAAAACAAAATAAAATAATCTATATCATTTTCTGACTCTTACTATTTATAATAGTATCATTCATATTTCACGGGTTTGCAAAACCTTATCAGTCAGTCAAGATCAAGAAATGATCATTATTTAATAAAATAATCTATATCATTATCTGACTCTTACTATGTATAATAGTATCATTCATATTTCACAGGTTTGCAAAACCTTATCAGTCAGTCAAGATCAAGAAATGATCATTTATTTTGGCAGCAACACCTTATTGTTCATCATAAATCATAATGATCTGATTGTCCTCCCATGCATCAAAATAAATATCATAAAATAGACTGCCGTACATATTTAGTATATTATTCAATAAATTAATAACTCAAGATAAATAGGTTACACAATGCAGATTATAACCTAAACGGACATTAATGGCGACATGTCCCAGATCTTAACTCTTAGTGCCTGTAACGGTAGTACGCAGTGGCGTTTTTAAAAGCAGTCAGTTTATTTCAGCGCTACCTCAACCTTCCATACAGTCTCGGGTAACTGTACATTTAGGTGTTCATTGACCACTGTACATAGTCTCTACTGTCTGCGCCTAATTAATCTGTTTGGCTATTACTCTGTGGAAATACCACGGAGTACTTCAAAATAACACTTATAAGGGATGACTGGTGACATCTACAGCCCTCCTTGCCCCAAAGTATAAAAAGAAAATTATTTTTGCGCGACCGCACACACTCAACGAAAATTAAAGGTTCGTCAATTTTCAACATTCACAGCAAATACTGTTCGTTAATTTCAGCTTATATTGTAAGTTTTTCAAACATATGTCTGTCAAAGTACGCCAAAATAACAACTGAGTCCACATTTATTTTGTTTGCTTAAGCGTGGGGAAGCTTTAACTTGTGTTACTAATTGTGTGACATGTTTATTTTTCTCTTTCAACTGATCATTAAAATGATTGTTTTATCAACACTTTCAGAGTACCGCAAATGCGATATCAATGAATTTCGCTGTAAAAATGGACAATGCATTACATTAGGCAATCGATGTAACGCTGTATATGACTGCATTGATAATAGCGATGAAACAAATTGTGGTTTGTATATGACTTCGTGGTACAGTATCGTTACATTTTTTTTAATAATGATTTGTACCTGTGCACTCAAAGCTCTGAAGTATAATTTTAATATTGATATCTATAAGATGTAAACAGCTGTATTTAATGTAATTTATGTCTGCGAGTGAGAAAAATGTGCAGACCGACCGAAAATTGAACTCCTGACACTTGGAATACCGTTCCGCACCCCTACTGGCTGAGCTATCCGGCTTCTTCCACATCTTCTCCCCTTGATAGTGCACAATTCTGAATCTTGACACTGTCATGCTATAATTAAACTCATCCTCGAACTTAAAGGGGTGCAGAGAACATTGTGAAATTAGACTAGGCATTTTATACCATCACGGTTCCAAATGTGTGCCAAAAGTGCCAAATGTCACAGGATAGGCTGAGAAATTTAGCAACCTGACCGGAAGTCGAAACCGGAACCCTCGGAATAACGTATTGTGGCTCTACCGACAGAGCTATCTAGACACCTACACATCTTTTTCCCTATATATAAACCCTGACATTTATTGAATACTTACATCGGTTATAATTATAACCAAATGTCATATGGATCTCGTAGTTGAGATTACCTGTACTATCATGCTGTAAAAACAAACATTTGCATTAATTTTACTTTTATTTAAGTTTTAAATTACATATATTATCCATTATCTAAGCCATAAACCTCTTGCCAGTGAATTTTTGCAGGCTTGATGAAAATTGGACAAACAAAATCAAAACAAAAACGTTAATGAAAACTGAGCAAAATAAGTATATTGACGTCTATGCCATTTTCGTGAAAATTTATGAAATTTTCTGGTGAAATTTATATTGAAATGAAAATCGTTCTATCTAACAGCTCATATAATTTGCAATGTGGAATGGCCTCGTGGTTACTTACTTGCTTAATTTATGTTTTTTTCACTTTGATTTCAATCAGGTGTAGGAATTATACGTGCATAATGTCCATATATAACAAAAATATACTAGATAGAAATTTGTAGTTTTTAATAAACTGTGTCTTAATATATTCAATGAAAACGTCTTTTTACTACTGCATGCATTAAAAATAAATGTTTAAGCTTTATGTATCTTACACTTCCAGACTCCTGCCGAAATTCATTTCTCTGTGTTGATGATTACAAATGTATTCCTAATCGACTGACGTGTGATAATTATCCTGACTGTAGGGATAATAGTGATGAACAGAATTGCGTAGGTTCAATTCCAACGACCGATGATTTCAATATTGAATACCTATCAGTGAAACTCTCTGATCGTAAGTAGATGTCTTCGATTAATAAGTTTTATCTATATTTAATATCTTCATAAATTCTTTATTGAGTGTTTGAAATACAAATGTTAATTAACAGCGCGAAATAAATTAAATCAGTATCAACTTGGCATAGATACTTGGGGTTATGTGCAAGGCTCCCCTTCTTGATCCGCACTTGAATACACCATGTCTATTTTATCATGCGAATCGTAAGTCAAAATAATTTTGCATATTATTATGACCTGGTCACATGTCTTGAACATAAAACTTGTTTTCCGCTATTTTTGCAACGTTTAAAACAGTCCCTAAAATATCATAATTTCATAAAGATGACAACGTACAATTTCCTTTGATGTGAGGCGACTGGAATGAGTTTCAGCACTGTTTGCGCTTTCATTTTAATGCCGAGAACCAGACATAATTCTCTAAGGATTAAAACATTTCATCCAGCCAGTTTGATAACCACGAGAAATTATAAAGAAACATAATTCAAGTAAAATGATAATTAAATAATGAATGTAAAAGTCTTAAAGTAAAAAGAAATTGGATTGTTCTATATTTATTAATGTTTACCTTTATTTTCGCTCCCGAAAATATAGGCAAAGCGCACGTGTGTAAGACGATAACAACGTACATTTTAGGTGTGGGAAACATTCCAGTCGTCATGAGTTCGCAAACAAAAATGTGACACGGTTAAGAAAGTTTAACTAAATGTACAAAGCTTAAAAGAAAGGCACGATCGGATAGTAACATATATTCATTTATTAGAAGAATATATACCTCGACTGATTTACACAATAAATAAAATGGCATGCGATAACATTAATGCTTGACATTCATGTAGGCCAATTGTGTTTACATTTCGAAGCTTGGTATCTTTAGGAAATTGAAGCTTTGGTAAGAAATTGACTTTTTTTAAAACGTTATGAGATTCGGTTCAAACTTGTTCACGTATTAGACACTTAACCGTCTCATACTAATATAAGCAAAAATTTAAAACTTATTCTTATAATAAGTAATATCTTTAGTTTTAAATATTCAGGGGCAGAGGAGGGCGGGGTCTATACTCCAAGTGTCTGTGTAACTTTGGTTGTAGATTTGTTGCATTTGGAATTTCTCTTTCCTTTATTTAAAAAAAAGATGTTCCTTTAAATGACTCATATGATTTATAAATCATTTGGTGAAAATGGGCAAGAGGAATTTTATTATTTGCACTTTTGCATTTTATTATTGGGAAACAGGTATACTTGTAAAGTTGTGGAAGACCATTTATCATCTCTTAGTGACTACTTCTAGTATTTACACAACAAAACTACTAAGTCGATAACTTGCCTTAGTAAACAATAAGGTTAAACTAACTTTTTTCTTTAGAGTCTTGTACATGGGTTTTCGTCCAGAAAGGAAACGAATCTGGTAGAATAATGTATTCTAGACAGTGTTTATTTCAATGGGATTCAGCTTATTTTTCTGGTGATTTAAATGCGAGCTATTCTTGTTTTGTTGAGGTAAGTGCATTTTAAATATGAATCCTTGTGCACTTTTTATTTTCAAATGTAGAGTGTTAAATACGAGAGTTGTTCGAAAAGTTAATATAATTGTGCGGTTTCTCTAGTAAAAGTCATTTAATATCTTTGATATTTGGTGTGTAAGAGTACTGTTATTAAAAGAAATCTAACATATAAGTTTATTTTTAAACAACATTGAAAACAGTTCAATATTTCAAAACAGTTTTATAATCAATCCGTGCTGCCAAGGCGTCCTCAATGAAATGATTTTAATTTATGTCAGGGATATAGATAAAACAGGTTTGCTTGTATGCAATATGAGTATTTATATGTGTGAAATATAGTAATTACCTCATCTCAGGTACGAAAAGATTGCAAGTTCAGATTTCGTGAAGCAGCTCTTATTGACAATAACAATAGTGATTTCGCATTCCCGTTCTGTCATTGCACAATTGGAACATTCCGCAAAGGAAAACCTTTAATAAAGTATATTCTAATTATTTCATTTTACTCAAACCTTGTAAACGTAAAAGAATAGTTTATACATGTGTTTTCACTTAAAGTATTTACCTTAATTTAAAAATTCATCATTTATTTTATTTTATTTTTTTTATCTAATAAACTCTTGTAAATTTTCAATTATAATACTATTTGGTTAAAGAAATGATCATTTCTTGCGTCGTACAATTATATATAATTATAGATAATAAGTTTGCATTATTAATAATACAGTTCATATTTTAAGATTACAATTAAACTGAGTTTCGTTAGCTGCCATTTTTATTCTTAACTCATAATTTTGAACATTCTATTAATTATCATTCTATAACTTTTTATTATAAAAGTATATATCGATCTTTAAGTATAATGCTTTCAGATCACATCAATATATTTTTTGAGAAGGCATTTAGAAACTGAAAAATAGATAACGGATAAAGTCAGTAATATGAATAGGCGTTTACAATATGTTGCAAACTCATTTTTGGCTCTTATAATTGAAATCCTAATATTTTCCTAAATGTATACACGTTCATATTCTTATTTAACGAATCCTTGATTCCTTGAGCAAGAAACTTTACATTCATTGCTTAGTACTGGTTGGTTCCAGAAACGGATTCGAGAGTGTTTCTTTAAGCTTATAGCTTCCAACACAATCGAACTAAAATAAATTTGAATAAAGTAAACGATAAGTAAATATAAAATAAGAATAATATTTCTCGAACAGTAATTCTTCGAATATAATTCTTTTAACATACGAACGGTTATTTTATATTTTTATATTTAAAAATGGGATAGGAATATTAATATTTGTTGATTTAAAATCGTTGCTGTAATATTTAAATTTTCAGATATTGTAACCCTTATCATGAGCTGGATATTGATTCGATAACCGACTGCGATGGAAGTGAAATCGCAGAATTGCATAGTTCTGATGATAGGAATGTTTATAATAATATAAAGAATACTAGTGATATAGTGACATTTATTTGGCCAAAGGTTTTTTCAGACATGGACATGACGGTTGGCCTTCCTTATTGTACTTACGGTATGGGTAAATCTTATAAATAATAAGGGCAATTGAAAAACTGCTTTCAAGATCCAAAACACTTTATTCTTAACTTTATAACTTAACTCATTGTTCACTCGGTTTATTGATCAAAATAGTCACCCTTGTGCGTTTAATCAATTTATAATTAAAGTGAGATTGTTTTATATGTTATTTTTGTCTCGATCATATCTTTACTCGGGACATTCTTTAGTATGATGAATTTTATCCACATGAAACTGCATTTTACCATGTAACCAAAGCTGCAAAGAATAGTCCTGTTAGCTCAATAAGTTATGCGTTTAACTGTATGTCGGGCGATCCTTTTTATGGTCAGGCACACTGTACCGTTTTGACTTACGAAATGTTCTTTTATTGGCGTCCGCGCCGAAGCGCGGCGCCCTTATGGAATGAAATCAGATTTTGTGAAAGGGCGACAGCAACTTCTCAAGCCTTATAGTCGGTCATAATAAAAGCCGATCATTCCGATCGGTATGAGGGTGCTTGATTAAAAAAAATTGTTCGATATGTACAATGAATAGCGAACTGGAGAATTTCGCAATGCATGAAATAACCTTTTCCGTCTCTTCGGGGTTTTTTTTTATTTATCATTTTGTAGTACACAGTGGGTTATCATGGTATGTTAAAAATAGAATGATGAGTTGATGACTTAAACATTCCGAAAATCTATTTATAGAGGGATGTACTCCTATCGGTAATTCCCGGTCTCTCCCGGTCTATTTTGACCGGGATTTACTAGTGACCGGCGAATAGTATCACAAGTTTATTGTCCGGTCTCTCCCGGGTTTGGAGTAGATGTTTGATATCGTTACAGAACTGAACAGATATTTTACAGATAAATAAGCTTTTTTTCCAAAATGAATGATTGTCACTTAGTTTGGTTACAATAATTAATAAACATAGATCAACTCTCAAATTTATTGATTATTATTATACATAAACGTACAATTCGAAAACAAAACCAACAACAACAACAAGAGCATGTTTCATTTTATCTATATGAGATAAAAACAATAAATTTGTACAATAATTGAGAAAAAGGTACATTTTTATGGTATAAATATGACACTATCAACTTTGAAACATTTTATTTATTTTGTTATTCGTGTTTAGTAAAGATGTCCAGGAATAATTCAAAGTTACAAATTAGAATGTTACAAATTTATGAATTATTCAATTGATTGATAATTTAAAAAAATGATAATGAAAAATACAAATGTACATGTACATGGTTTAAGAATAAGCAATATTATATATTGAAAGATTAAGCATAATTTACTGATTTCCAGTAAAGTTTTGACTTATAATCGTCTGTCAATATGACAATTAAATTCTTAAAAATTATTTTACAATTTTAATAAAAAAAGGAGAAGTAAACGTAAAAACTCAGTATTAAAATAGCACATAAAACACAAAAAAGAGAGGAAAACAATATTCATAAGATCTGTATTTTTTATATTAAAATAGATATTACAATTATTGTATAATAAACAATTATGCTCAACATGATCAACATGGTCATATAACCAGTGTCATATTTTTACTAAGTGTGAACAGATACCTTAAGAGGGGGTCTTCGCTTATAGCGATAACATAATAAGAGACAATTCCACAAGTGTGGTGTTGATCATGCGTTACACATATGGATTATAAATGATTGTATACATGTATATCCGTTGCTATTAATAATCACGATCATAAAGAAATAACAAGTAATATTCTAATCTCTAGCATGCCAATCAAAGTTCATAATGAACAATGTCTTTCGTCCGTTCATTCTGGTAAAAAACCAATTAACCATTGAAACGTTTATAAGAATATCTTGTCATCATATGTCTACTAGTTCATCTTCATTTTCTGCATTTCTTGCTTGGACGCCCTTTGATGCTTTGCATCAATGCTTTTCTTGTTTAATGAGTTATAATTCTACATAAATAAAATGCATATAGCTAAGTTGTCGTCTTGATTTCTTTTTTACTATTAAAGATAGATTTTGGATTTATTTTATCAAAGATTACAATGCAAGCGTGTTCGGGGATTGGTTTAAATGTGAAAGAGATAACAAGTTTATACCAGAGTCGATGGTCTGTATTTATTCCGTAGATGCAAACGGTTACATGACTGGATGTAGATCTGGGGACCATTTACAAAATTGTGGTAATTCAAATAAATATCAAATCTTTAGTTATCATATGATTCTATTTCTAAATTTTCAAAACACAATCTTTATGACGATGTAATTAAGTAAGAGTAGGAATAAGAGTATAGTCAGTTATCATCTTCTGTGTCCGTTTGTCATAGATTGAACTAAAATAAAATAAAAGAGGGTGACACAGCAAGAAATCATTCAATTAAAGCAAGCACTAATGAAATCGTTGACAGTCAGTAAAAGACAAAATTCAAAATTATATTTAAAATTGAAAACGGATTTAAGGTTTAAGATAATCTTACTTTAAAGATATTAATAATTGAAAACATTAAGAAAAAAAAAATAATTACATTAATTTCATTAAAACATGAAAAGAAATAAAAATCATCTGCACGTCTTCCGAAAAATAATCTTCCATTTAGACAATTCTATACTGTAACCGGAAAGCTCGATACTGTAACACGGTGGAATTGCAAGCATGCAGTTTCCATTCAGGTATGTTCTTGACCGCATGGTATATGGGCTATATCTAAAACTAGGTTAATAGTAATTTCATTGTTAGTACTTTCCTTTCTCGCTCGGCGATTATCATTTGTATGCACGGATCAAAAGGGGATTTAGAGGGACATGACGCCGCCATCCCTCTGAGATTTGGATAGCAAGGTTCGTTTGATAACAAACAATGACGCTAAAATAGAAAAATTAATCAAACGTTTGACTCATGAGCTATTGTGGTAAACAAGAAAAATATCATCTTTCGTGCATCGCATTCCCGCACCCCTTAAAATATGCATTATCTCTCGTCGACTTATTGCGACCTCTTTTAAAAATCCTTACGATTCTCGAGTTGTATGCGAAAAACACACACTGAATCTTTCTGAAATTGCTTATCAGTTTAAGCCTTTCAAGCAAGAAGTTGCTTTTTAAAGTTAAAAGTGCAATAGGTTCAAGCATATAAATCAAGGCATTTTGAGTGCTCATCAAATATTGTCTTGTGCGAGATAGATGTTTAATGTACTGAATTTATTGAACGAACTGAATATCATTATATTACGAGAGCCTGTGGCGAGCATAATATTGTGTTATTCATAACATTTAGTATTGAATGTACATGAATATTATATTCTATTTAACACATATTCGAATATGAAAGATTAACAATTACAAATAGTGATTTTTCATTGACGCGCCTATAGTGTAACCATAGCATAAGCGTGCTTTAACGCTACGTCAAGGTGTTATTTAACTAGAGTAATATCGTTTTACTTAAATTGCCTTTTTACATTCCTGCGCTTTATTACATTCCTGCGTCGTGGTGTATGTGATAGATATCATAACTATTCTATCCATTATTTTTCTGAAGCCATTCGCAATTTTTACATTTTGATAGTTGATTCAACCGAGTTATCTTCATTTCATTCATGGTATCTTTAGGGAAAGCGTAAGCATTATAAATTGCTTTCCTCGGCTGCTTTTAAATTACTGGCAAATTACTCCCTTAATTTATATCTGTGTTTGATAACTAAAACTTTTTTTGATATTAAGGTATAAATATTATCATGTATAACATTTTTCATAGTCTAAATGCAATCTGTCGTGTTTTCATTTCACATGTAAGAAAGATTGACAAAAATATATGTCATTTACAACTTTAATAAATAGTACGATCAAAGGTAATTGCTTAAGATTTTATCACAAAATCTCGTTTTCAGAAAAATTCCTCTGCCCTGAAAATACAGTCAAATGTCCAGACAGTTACTGCATTGAACAGAGATTACTCTGTGATGGACATATTGAATGTCCTGGAAGAGAAGATGAACAAGATTGTAGTAAGTGATCAAGATTTATAATTACTAAATTCAACATCATTTTTGTTTTTTCTGTTAAATGGCTTTTTATACGGTCGAAATAATTTCGGACGTATAATATCATACCCCTGGTTATCCGTTCGTTCGTTCGCTAATTATTTTGTATCCGCTGTGTATTTTTAAGAAATTAAAAGAAATGGAAACTACATTGCAAGAATTTAAATAATAATGAGAAGACGTTTTAAAAACCGGTTTTGGGGCTTCCTCAGATATATGTTAACTATTAAGTTCGCATAATGTCATTAGTCATTTCAATATATTTCAAAGGAATGGAGGCTATTTGTTGATAAACATCCGGCCTTTGAAACTTGGCAATGCATACTTCGGAACTACTAAACAGATTAGTAAAAATCTAATTGTCGATTCGATAGTTACATACTGTACTGGTATTAAGCGTAATGATTATCTTGATTTGACAAAATGGAAGCTGGTAACATGCAACTTAGATAAATTGCAAACTGTATTTAGGAATGTACAACTTCAAATTTGCGAAATGTTGGCGATAGAACGTACACAACACGTTTTATGCCGTACATGATGACGCTAAGAGTGTAACTGCACCAGTTATCACTCTAAAGTTGACAAAACCACACTTTCCTTTTTTATTTTTAAGCGATTAACATTTGTAGACGATTTTGCAACTTCCATATATGTTAATATCACGGATAAAGACGAAGATAAAAAGGCGGAGCCAATTTTCACGAGAGCAGAATATAAAGAGAGGCAACTGTTACTGTGCAGTAATAATGAGTACAAGATATTTCAAAATAAATGAAACTGTTATATATGTCACATGCATCAAATGTATTAAAGTTGACTTTGCATTTAAAACGTATTATAGCACATGATATTCAAGTAATACAAAAGTGGTTAAAATATAATGTAACAATGTAACGAAGTTGGTAGAACGTCATAATACTGATTGTAAGCGTAATAATATGCAGGGAATGTTTCCCATCTATAAGGAAGCAAACCACTCCTTAAAGTATAAATTGTTGAATTCTTTTACAGTATCCATTTGCTTTACATTCAGCAGTCAGTACTAGAATGCGATACATGGATTTTACTTTTGGCAAACTTAATAAAGACAACTGAACAGTAAGCATAGGCCTCCTTTTCTTGAAGGACTGTATTTGGTTGTAAAAAACCCAAATTATTAAGTGTATGCAACGGAACTATACATTAAGTAGAGAAAGCAAGAATCGCTTAAGAAGGCCCAACACGGCAATATAGAAAATGTTGCAGGCTCGGTTTGATTGATCACATTCGTGGACGGTACTGTCAAGTGCAAACTACCGTCCACGCCCCTAACACCGGCTTAAGCAGATTTAAACATTTAAACATGAAATGGTAAAATTTTGAATTTAGAAACACCCACAGATGTGTTCATACGGCGGTTATAATGGAACCTTCAATGTGACATAGTAGTGCCATTCCATTAGAAGCGGCGTATGGTCCCCAAGTAAAAAAAAGCTTGTGCCCTAAACGAGAAAACAATGGGCGGGACTAAACAAAATCGAATTTTGAAAGGGGATCAGAGGTTATGAAGCCTGCATATCACAGATAACACGCCAAAAGACAAAGTTAAGGAGCAGACAACATATCCTAAGGGTGATTCAATATTATTCAATTAGGAATAATGGAACCACCCAACTAGAAAATGCCAAATAGTTAAAACTAGAAATACCACAAACACAACAATAATGTCGTGCTGAACGATCTTTAAGGCTCGGATATATAACATCTCTGATTGAATATACGGGCGACTTTTTACCGCCTCCACACGGCACAAACAACGCTGATGTGGCGAAAAAATAGAGAAAATAAGAATCCCAACACGTCACAATTAAAAATGTTGCAGGCTCGGTTTGATTGATTCTGTTCATGGACGTACTGCCAAGTGCAAAGTACTGTCCACGCCCCCTAGCACCGGCTCAAGCAGAATTGAACATTTAAAATTTTGAAAGTTTACTATTGATAATTCCACTATATAACCAAAAACTTGTGAATTTGTCCCATTTTAATGTTGAAATATATATTCAGTGTATCCTAGCATCTATGTTTACCTCCATTTCGAGATATTTTGAGTCACAGGATTTGTTAAGTCTCTATGGAAGCTGACGTTGGCGAACCTCTTTTATGCATTTTAATAAATCAATGACAGTTCAAAATCTGTGTATGCATGCTGCAAATAGCTGTTACCTAGACTTGCTGTCTTTCTGATCAAAAGCAGAGAACTATCTTTATGTACAGGAAATACTACAAAGAATACGTAACTATGTATTAAGTTTGAAAAGTGATGGCCTTGTTAGAAATAGAATAAAAAAGGGTATACATAAATCAATAACTAGCATAACTTACATTTTGACTCATTTAAATAATATTATTGAAAACAATATATAGTGAAAATGGTAAAAATCTATACAGTATGGTAAAAAAAAGATATGTTCCAAGGGGTACATACAACTTTGGCTTTTTTTTTCTATTGTAAAAAAGCTTTTTTCTTGTCAAGTCATAAGCTAGTATTAAGGATATTAATGTAAAACTAGGAAAGACAGACAGCCGGAACTTTGTCTGTCTTAGTATTGGGTCATAGCAAAATCTCTGTCGGATATTGACTCGACAATTTGAAAGTGGTAAGGAAGCAGCTTAACTGGCAATGTTACGCAATAAAATGTTCTATGCAAATTGGAATTCTTACAGTAAAATTTATTTATCTTTAATAAGAACATGTTGAATATATTCTTAACAATAATTTCAAGTTCCGTTCCTTGAAAAATATTTACCATCCAACAACCCCATTAAATGTTTGATTGAGACGGTTACCTGGTGCGCTTTTCTAGTTGCTTTTTCTAGGACATGGGCTATCTACAACATTTCAAAACTATTAGACCTCTAATCATTTCAAGTCCGCTGATGTTGACTGAATAAAGACATAGAATGGTGTTCATGAATGAATTATGTTTGGTGAATAACTGTCATGATTTGCAAACACATAAAAGGCTCCAAAATGTTTTAACTTGAAATGTGTGATTAATTTATACTACGCCTGTGTGTGTTCTTGTTTCCTTGCTTCCTTGTGATCTCAGATCGCAGAAGGAGAACCAGGCGCTGACGGTAAATACCTAAAATGAGCGAATACATATGTTTATCTACGATGATGTAGTGGGCGTGAAAAGGGGCGAAGATTATTTTATATCCTATAGCAAAACGTGTTCAGCTGGATTATGCTGATTCGATTAATGATGATTTGACAATGTGAAATCTGTTATTGTCGGCGTATACACGACCAATGAATATCCCGCATGTTATGATGAACATTTGGTAATGCTACTCTCAGAAAACCAGTTAATGTTTTGTCATTTGACAAAATGTATTTTGTTGAAATACATATTTACAATGTCAAACTCAATCCGAGAATGCAACATTGGAGTTTACAAACAAAGAAATACAATTGTATTTTATCCGTAAACAAACAGTTCAATTCAGATCAACTAGGCTGGATCTTTGGCAACGAATAGCCTCCATACAAAAGAAGGTTTCTCTGTTATTACCATTTATCTAATATGTATTTTAACTGAAAGTATTATATGTCTTTTTAGAAGATGAAAAACGTTCCCATAAAAACTATTTACTTGTATATATTATAATTTGTCTTTAAATTCTTCGAAAACTTTTTTATTTTAAGTAAATATAAGTCAGGGTCGTTGTATTATACTTATTATAAAATCACAGGTACAAAATCCATCATGGCAATTTGTATTATAATGATTTTATTGAAACATTCATCGAGCGTTTGTTTAAAACTATTATGTACATGGATGGAAGTAAGTTCTATATTCTTACACAATATAAGAGAATAAGAAATAGCAATTCTTTGAAAACGGCTTACAAAATAAACCTGTCACTATGGTCTACCCGGTGCACGTCATTTCTGATTTTAAAACGTTGCAGCTGATATCTTCACGGTGTTTAGTGGATAAACATTTTTTTTCTTCACTTTTTCTCAAACCAATGTCCTTTGAACTCTATAGAACGTCGGTGGCAATAAACCAATGATTGGAAAATAACTTCAATTACTGTTAATAAAGCGTGACACTCACTCCTGTTTGTAGCTGCAGTAAGTATACGGATCTGCATTTCCCCGTTATTATTTATATGTATGAATTTGTTATATGTAGATAATAACACCAAGAAATCAAGTTTTCCATGTTAACTTGTAATGATATATCGCAGAGTTAAAAAACTTTAAACAAAGTTTCGTATGCTTTATTCTTGGTATCTAGAATATAGAGTAATACAACGTATTCTTACGATTTAAGACGGTACAATCACGTTGTATTTATTTTTGAATTTAGTCTAAATAAAAACTTTTTCGGTTAATAACCGTATGAATTATATTTTAACAGCTCAGAAAATTTTATACAAAATATATGCTTACAAAAAAGTAAAATGTTCTAATGCTCCAAAACATGGAGGGACATAATTATGTGCTCCTTCGTACGCCTGCCCTTCATATATATTCACTCACATACAACTAAATTACCCTCTAAATCTCCAAGAGTCTCATTGAATTTTCCATATCATTAAAACAAATATGTTTGGTCCTAGATTTGTTCGGAGTTAATGAGTGTATGAAAATTTGTGTTTTTTTACCTTAATTTATAATCAATAAAAGTGTATGTAACAAAATCGTTTGTTTGATTTATACAAATGAATTCAAATGCCTATAAGTAAACATGAAAACATATTCCTCGTGCGGTAACTATTCCGTACAGAAAATCAACAAGAACCTCATCAGGATTATTGCGTTTAAACCTTTACTTTAAATGACTTGTCAAAGACAAATGAGGGTAACAAGGGACTAAAAATTCTTAACTTTTAGAAATGCATCTTCTTTCATCTAATTTCAAGTTTGTATATATCTCATGGTTTGGCCGCATCTATCCCTGAACAATCTTTGACATCCCAGCATCCACTCAAAAGTTAGTTAGGTCAATTTAACATTCTATTACATTTACTTTTGTCCAAACAGCTCGAGCCTAGATTTAATAATGGGCTGTCCTACAATAAGGACAAACTTTGAAATTCTACAAAAAATAATAATGTAATACTATGTATTTAAGTTATCCGTTCAAAAATCCCCCCAAAAAAATAATAAAAAAATAAAACTACTAATATTGAGATCGTAAATCATTAATATTTTTGACCATTCATTCCATAATTTGCTTTGGAGTAAGTCTAAATTTATAAGGCTTCTAACATAATACTGAAATCACGCTTGTCTATATCAAATATATTTCTTGTCTAGTTTTTTAATTTTATGTCTTATTTCAGCCTGTAAGCATTCGGATAGAGAAGTTATCTTATTTGTAGAAGATGGTGATCCTGAGACCGCGGAAACAGCAGAACATTTAGCTAAACAATTTTTTACAAACGCCAAGGATAGTATTGTAAGATTATTTTATTTTAAGAGTCTGAATATATCAGTGGAGTTTGACATTACATATAGGTTGTTGGAAATACGAGAAGAACGTGTAAATCAATTAAGAAAAACTGAATGCAAATATACAACAATGGCAAGAGATTTTCTTAAAAGGCTGCACTTTACCAAATCAGAAAGAAGAGGTGTTATTGTGATTGAGAATAGTAATGCATCAGCAGTTGTTTCCAGTTTAGCATTGTCCAATCTCTCACAGCCAGAGTTTTCAATATATCGGGTGGTAAAAGATTTCAGTTCTTCCCTTTATAGGAATAATAAATACAAATTTGTAAAAGACATTCATATCAGTAAATGGAGGTCTCTGTATTGGACTGGATTCAGGAGATTTCCAGAAATATGTACAGGTGAGTGAAAGAGATAAAATATTCTTTAAGTAAGTAGAAAATACATTTAAACCCTCATGCAGTTGACAAAATAACTAGATTGGATGTATACATATTATACATATTTAACTGCAGACATACGAAGAAGATGTAAAGATAAATGAAAACAATTACGGTATGTCCCTTTTAAGGGACATTATAAGGAGCTAACAATTGACAACATAAGTCAGGTGTATACCTTCACCTGTATGCAATATTTGCCATTCGGTTTACGAGTAATAGAGACTTTTATGAACTTAAGTTAGGGTATTGTCGCAAATGTTGAAACTTCTAACTTATATCATCCCCACGAAAAAATATGTTTCTAATGATTATTGTTTAAAACACATAATAGCATTCAGCCATCAAATCATACTAGCAAAATTAGTTTTTCTTCTCAAAATATTTGAGATATTCATAAAAAGAGTGATTGTGTCGCCTAGTGGTTAACGCATCGGACTAATAATCTACGATTGCTGAGCGCGCGGGTTCAAACCCTGTCAGGGGCACGTTGTTGTTTCTATGAACAAGAACCCTTTAATTCATTGCTTTTTACCGGTTGGGTCCAGGAATGACTTCGAGGGTGTTTCAATAAACAAAGTCGAAACTAAAATAAATGTGTACACATTCAATATTTCACTCTACCTTAAACCGTTTTAAACACTTGTTTGACATTTTTCCTACTTAGAGAACATAATTTAAAATAGTTTCGATTGTATGGGGCTTTGAAAATATTTGGTACCATATTTTTTTATCAAATTTTAAAAAGTTTAGATTTATTTAGCCAGCAAATACCTTAAAATTTAAAAAAAAAATTAACATTTTTTTCTGTAACACAATTAATTTGAGAGGCTGTGCATAACAGTTACTAATGTTAAACAAAACATTATTTAACCTTATTCTACGAAACCCCCAGTTTTAATGCAGTTGACAGTAATAATAGCTTTTTGAAAATTCTTCAATTCGGAGGCTATGCATTAGGTGGGTTTTATCTTAAGATGACACTTTTGATCATTATATATAATTTTAGTTTATATTTTTCTGTGAAACATCCTTTATCTTTGTTCTTTTCAGAGGCTTCATACGTTCCTTGTGCTGGGAAGTTCAGGTGTTCCTCAAGTAAGCAATGCATACCATTTGAACAAGTTTGTGACAATGTTGTGCATTGTAGAAACGGTGACGATGAGAGACTTTGTAACTCTGTGTGTCCTCAGAAATGTAGTTGTGTTGGTGATGTTATAATAAATTGTAGGGAGGCCAACATATCTTTGTCCGATTTATCATCACTGACAATACATGTCAGAAGTGCTGATCTAAGTAAAAACCCATCAATTAAAGAAATACACGAAAACCATTTAAATTTTCATAACATGTTACGTTTAAATATTTCGTCGTGCGGCATTGATCATATTGACAACAAAACATTTTTTAACTTAAAAGAATTGTTGTTGTTAGATCTTAGTCACAATAGAATACAGCAGTTACCAGTTGTGTTTAGCAAGCTCCGTTATCTTAACATTTCATCGTGTGACATTCGTAATATTGATAAAAATTCTTTCGTAAATTTACAATATCTTTTTTCGTTGGATCTTAGCGGCAACAAAATACGACTATTACCTGATATGGCGTTTAGCATGCTCCTTTATCTTACCCACTTGAATCTAGATAGGAACTTTGAATTGACAGTGATTTCACCGACAGCTTTTACAGGCTTAAAAGCAGTGAAAAACATACAAATAACAGGCACAAGCTTAAAAAGGATAAGCTCCCTTACATTTTCAGATTTAAATTTGGACAGTATAGACATTTCTAACAACAAAATTGAGGAGATTGAAAAAGATGCCTTCAATAATTCCCAAGTACGTAAAATCAATTTTGAAGGAAATAATGTGATAAAGTTTGGAAAAGAAATGTTTAACGGCGTAACATTCCTTCGAGAGCTTCATACACCTGCATTTAAATTCTGTTGTATCCGCCCTTGTTATGTCCCTGAAAAAGATTGCAGTCCTTTAAAAAATGAGTTTTCTTCATGTGAAGACCTGATAAGAAACTCTGTACTTCAAGCAGTTCTTTGGATAGTCGGAATAGCTTCATTATGTGGAAATCTATCTTCAATCATATACCGTCTTGTCTATGATCGCGAACGGCTAAAGATAGGTTATGGCATATTTGTCACTAACCTTGCAGTTGCAGATTTTCTGATGGGTTTGTACCTGATAATGATAGCAGTTGCTGATTCATTCTATAGAAACAGGTAATTATTTCTACATGAAACTTGCATTTTCTAACTGATTAATCATCAAACTACTTAACTGATTTACTCAACAAATCAGTCAATTGTTTCTTCAAATTTTCTTTTAAAACAATACAAGTACTGATTCTAACAACAATCTCTTCACAGAATCCAGATACTGTTTCCTATGAATCTCTTCCGCAATACATATTACTAATTTTCTTTTCATTTAGTTTCAGCAACAGATATAAGTATCGACTTATAGTCTACAAATATACTCACTGTATAAGACAGAATATATGTATGACAGTGTCAGAGTTATTTTTCTCACGCAAGTGCTGATTTACCGAAACCTGATATGCCGTAAAGTCTTGTTGTAGCGATGATTTACTATAATATAGAATATTTTGTCCTGATATGTCACTAGTATTGCTTTTTGTTTTGAAAGTAATATGTTATCCTTATTATTAATGAATTTTGAAATAACAAATGTTGGCATCGATCTTTATTAACTCGTCAAACGAAATTATATCATGATTATGAATTATTTCAGAAAATGAAATACATAAATACCTGATAAGGAGTGATATAATTTGTTGACATTTAAGTATATAACACATTATTGCAAACAAAATAAGACTCACTCCTAAAACTTAAAAGTATTGTTCAATTTATTTTCAGATACACTTTTGTGGATGAGTATTGGAGAAACAGTAATTGGTGTATTACCGCAGGGATTCTGTCTACAGTTTCGTCTGAATCCAGCGTTTTCTTTCTTTGCTTCATAACCTTAGACAGACTTTTAGTGATCAAGTTTCCATTTGGCACTGTGAGGTTAACACCTAATAAGGCGTACATCTGCTGCGGAATATGCTGGTTAATTTCCATAGCCATGTCGATCATCCCAATTCTGTACACAGGTCACTTTAAAAACCAATTCTACTCTAAAACCGGAGTATGCATTGCATTGCCTTTGACGCGAGATAAACCTCCAGGATGGATGTATTCCGTATCAATTTTCGTTGGTTTAAATTTCTGCACCTTTATTTTTGTTGCTGTAGGCCAATTAGCAATATTCAAAGAACTTCGACGAGCGTCAGTTATGAAGAAGACACAACAATCCAGAAAACGTGATTTGAAAGTTTCTAGGAATCTTATTCTCGTTGCAACAACTGATTTTTTATGTTGGTTTCCGATAGGGGTGATGGGTAATGTCTTATTTAAACCATAATTTGATATGATCATTTATTTGCAAAGTCTGAATTGCGATTAATGAATAAAATGTTATGACGAACCTTTGACTTACATAGTAGTGCTAAAAATATTATACCGTTTAATCTAGAGAATTATATATGTATGCTCCATGTTCGAGTACAGTATTAAAAACCAAACTTCTAAAGATAAATTAATCAAACATATTTTTCAAAATATTGAAGCATCTGTTTATATTTACTTGCCTCACACCGTCTGATCTTTTCAATTCAATTTTACACAAAACTGGCAAATTACAATATTCTCTCCTTCAGGAATTTTGTCATTAATCGGATTTGCGATTCCAAGTGATGTTTATGCATGGACAGCCATTTTTGTGTTACCAATTAACTCTGCCCTGAACCCGTTTCTGTATACAGTGTCAGCAATACTCGGAAAGAAGGTAATTTAAAATATTGTTTTTCTTTCTTGCTTATATTTATATTGAACTGATATTATGTGCGCACAATTATCAGATGTGAGTTTCTGTGAAATTATGATATTCGTCACGCATGATTCGTCGTAATCTTGATTCTTTTTCAACATAAATTCCGCCTTAACAAGTAGGTAGATTGCGACCAAATTTCACAAAAATAACTGTTAGACATCCCTCATATAAATGGTGCTAGCCTGGTGCACCAAAAATAACAATAGCTAAATATACAGGTGAGGATCGAGGATGTTTTATTAGAAAAGTTGTAAAATTGATGAAAAGGGGTAATACTTATTCAAAGATGAGGTAAGATATCGATATTTAACTAGTTTACCAGAGGGATAATGATTGAAAATGCTGCATTTTTACTTTTGCCAGACTTCTACTGACTTTTGAGCTTTTGTGATGGCAATGCGTCTATCATTTGTCGATCTCAATCTCCTGACTACATCTCCTAAACTACAAATAGATTTTGACCAAACCTAATAGGAATGACTTTTAGGCGGCTTTCTAAAATGTTTCACTCTGAAAATATGTTACAATATCAAATTTAGAATTAGAAAAAAAAATAGAAAAAAAAGTAATATTAACCGATGTAAATCATGCCCCAAAACTAAAATTGCTCCTGCTCTGGGGTCATTAGGTTTCCATAGATAAAAGTTCTCCCTTAAAGGTGTATGTCCATGAACATAGATATTTCCCCCAAATTCTTTTGATTGTGCTAAAGGAATCTTGATTTTACGCTATTACTGCTCTTGATAGATGGTGAATAATATTTTGTCCCATTATTAAATCTCGTATAAGCAATATGATACAAATTACTTAATTGGAACAAATTTGGTTATTTGTGCACGTGTAGCTTTTTTTATTATTAACCTGAAGTGTTCGGAGCATCGAGCGCAAAATATCTTGTGTCTTGTAAATGTTCTTACAATATGTGATGAACAGACCCAGCCTATTAGATAAACTAGTTGTTAAAAATTAATCAGCTTTAAATTTCTTGTATCTTCTAAAACTTTATATATATATATAAGGGAGCCGTAATTACCAGACACTTTTCACTATATTAAGTATCATTCATTGAAACGACCATGATATCCAAAATATTCCTACAGGTAAACCAAATAACGTTCCTTGCACTGTTTAATCATAAGAATGCGCATCAAAATGAATAAGCGCTACTAAAAAAGGAAAAATACGCCACACACGGCAAAAATTAAAATGTTGTAGACCTGTGTTAACCACCCCACTCACCCCCACGTTCATAGAGAGTATTAGATAACTCAAGCTACCGTACACATCCCAAGCACCGGCTTAAGCTGGATTCATCACTTAAAACTAATATGGTCAAATCTTGAATTTAGAAAGCAACAACCAGAGTGCTATGGCGATTTTTTTTTAAAATCTCTTTATGAACGAGAATGTTTTTTTAAGAATCAGGTAACGTTTTCCTCTTTTTATTTTTAGAGTTTTAATCCAAGCATTGATGAGCAGAGTCGAACAATGGTTCAGAAAGGTAAACATTGAACACTACTGTAGTTTTATCGTTCATGTTTTTTTTTTTTTGTATCACTGTCATGTAATAATTTCACATTGATCTATTGTCAATGACAGTATGCCATATATTTAAAATCAAATCGTTTAACCTTAAATATTCATGTTGTTCATGGTGAGTAAAAATATCACACTTTATGTAGCGATATCAGTATAATAGTTTGTTAACATTTATATTGCCCAGAGCTATGATAATAGTACATGTAAGCCTTAAGACAATGAATGTTTGCTCGAGGTTTTTGATTTATAACGAAATATCATCCCATGCTTATGTAAACTTTATTGTTTGTACGCATCAAGCTTTGTGACGTTTGATTCAGAACATAAAAACTTTTTTTGCCACTTAAATGCATACATAGTACCTATTCTACTATACGGTTCAAAATATTAATAGTAGTAAATTTCTAAATGATATATATGTTATAACTGTATTGCGTAAATGACGCTTGTTTGGTGTCATTTATATTGATTGCAATTGCGATAACTTGTTAATATGTTATTTTACTTGATCTGTATTATTTTTATTGCAATACCTTACAATGCAGCTCACTGGTTATTACATCTGAAATTTGACTGAAAATTTGGTCTTGATAAATTATGCATGTATATATATTTTATATATTAGTTTGTTTCTGGTATAAATCATTTACAGTAATGTACCGTTTAATATTTGTTTGCAGAAATTGGCAGCGCCATTTTAAGATATCAGAAATTTAGCAGATCTGTCCGCATGAAACAAGAAGTTCTGCCAGTAGGAACAATGCGTAGTATCCAAGACATACTCAATGACGATAGATGTTTGTCAGTCAGTATTGTTGCAGCAGTATCCAAACAACTTGCCGAATATCTTTGTCTATTAGATGAGTCTTTCATTGTCATAGACGTGATATGTGAGACGAATGTGTACATAACAAAGGTATATACCTAATTGTAAAATTATCATATCACTCCTTATCAGGTATTTATGTATTGTAAGAAAACAGTCTAGGTGGCACTCATAAGGATAAAATGGAAAACAAAACACATAATTTAAATGAAAATTGGGAATTTATTTAAAATACCATGAACTATCCTTTTTATACTAAATTCACAAATTAATATGATTTAATAAATGATTCCCGAAACAATCTTACTTGTGACAGGTTATGTGTTCAGCTCCTTCAGGCTTGATTAATACATTTGATAATTTTCTTATCCATAGGCTAAATATCCAATTTTTTGTAATAATGCAAAATTTTGATACTCCGAAAAAGCTCTACAGGAAAATTTTGCCAATATGGGAAAACTTTTTCAAAATTTTTTCAAAATGTTTATGAAATTTTAAATAAATAAAAAAAAAACCCCTTGTTTTAACTTTTTTTTTTCTTATTTTTTGACACAACATTTTTTTCTATTTTATTTTTTAACTAGATTTTTCTGAAATGGAAATTATAGTATGTTTTCTTTAATTGTGTTTAGAAAATTTGAAGTATTTTTTGTCTATTCAGTATACATATATGTTCAATAAATTTTCTCGACGTTAATATTTCATACAGTGAAAAATCATTGCTTATATTTAACGTTTTTTTTAATTATTTTTGTTGTTGATGTTTGTTGTAGTTTTTGTTGTTGTTGTTGGTTAGTAGGTTGGTTGGTTGGTTGGTTGGTCGGTTGACATTAACTTGTGTAATGATATTACTTTTCTATATCAATTATATTCACATGATATTAAATTTTATGAATTTCTTGACGTTGACCATGTTTTTTTAATTAATTTTTAGTAGATGTTTCAATAATGTATTGACGACTAGATAACTCGTTATTTGTAATACTTGAATCATTTTTCATTTTAATTGTATTTATCATAAAAATGTTATTGCCTTTGACAAACAGATAGCCGTCACATATAATACTTGGATTCTTTTTTATTTAAATTGTATTCATTATAATGTTGTTTTTTTTTTAAACTTATCAATGTGTTTAACATTTACTTCAATAAACGCCTTTCAATCACATAAATTCAATCATTTATGCATTTTTATGTCCTATTGTAATCAGTGTTGTTTTAGTTACTATTTATTGATATTTTGTGAAGGAAGAGTTAACCTATTTGGTAAGTTTTCCGCTTTTCAGTCTTTGGATCATGGAATCGAGCCCTATTCTGATCAGAAACATGCATCATTATTTGGCATTTATATAGTTATTTCCAAGAAGCGAACTTGAGAGGGTTCAAAAGCTGTTGTCACAATTAAGTTAAATAAATAATTGTGTTGATAAGAATAAAGTGTGATTTTTTTTTTGCATACATGTGGTTAAATAAGTCTTTGTATATAATTTTTAAGAAAAGCTTTCCCTACAGTTTTTCTGTCAGAGAAACATGATGTTAATAAGTGCGAGATAAAATGTAAAACAGCCTACAAACAGCAAATTGCAGTCAGATTGTCTTAAATTGTGATTTTGTGTAATTTGAATTTTAATAATTTTGATTTTTTTTGTTTGTTAAAGGTTGGTAGTAATGTTGTTGTTGTTGTTGATAATGCTGTTTGTTTGTAATAATGACATAGATATTTGATATCATTATAATAATAATTTGTCATTGATTATCCCACGCCGAAATGCGGCGGGGGATATAGAAAAAGTCTCCGTCCGTCCTTCCGTCCGTCTATCCATCCATCCGTACAAACCAGAGCTACATTATGGGGTTTGGTCTAATGTTCTCATAACAATAGATGCCTTTGATGTCATTCATTCCGTTTCTCTTGTGGGGTTATTTTCTGCATTGTGGGTTTAAAAAGAACAAAAGAAATAACAAAAGAAAACCCCATAATGTAGCCCTGGTAAGAACGTCTGTCCGTCCTTCCGTCCGACATTTTCGTCCGGAGCATATCTCAAAAGTATTTGAGGTATCAACTTAAAACTTTATAGGTGGATAGATCATATTCAGGAGGTGTGCAGGGTGTAAGAATGATAACTCTACCCTTCATAATATTTTAGCTATTGCCCTTTGTTATTTTGCATACTTTATTGTTCACCTGAGTGGAGCATAACTCAAAAACTCTTTGAGATGTCAACATGAAACTTCATGTGTGGATATATCTTACTGAGGAGGAATGCTGTGCACAAGAACGATAACTCTACCCATTGTAATTTTTGAGTTATTGCCCTTTGTTATTTTTCATACTTTTTGTCCGGAGCTTATCTCAAAAAGTGTTAGAGGTATCAACTTGAAACTTCATAGGTGGAATGATCTCATTGAGGAGGAGTGCATCACATAAGAATGATAACTTTACCCTGCATTTATTTCAGTTATTGCCCTTAGTTATTTTTCATGCTGAATTTGTCCAGAGTATAACTATAAAGGCGTTTGAGATATCAACTTAAATTTTCATTGGTGGATAGATCTTATTTAGGAGGAGTGCAGCACACAAGAATGATTACCTACCTTTTTTTTAAGTTATTGCCTTTTGTTATTTTCAGCAATATACTCACATATGTTTCAAATCTGTAATCACTTCAGCCATCAGTTTTCATTACCAAAAGACCTCTTAAAATTGAATTATTCTGCTCTACTGCATAAATATTCTTCCAATGAGCAAACACATTCGGCGAGGGATGGCCACGTTGACATGGCTCTTGAGTTTTTTTTTGTAACTGTTGTTGTTTTTATTGTTATTTAATTTTAGTTTTAGTAATGTACTTTTATAATCAGCATCTTTTAAATCTGAACATCATTATACGATCTGTAAAACTACGCTAATCAAAATTTTTATGCAACTTGATAACGAGCACTTATGTTGCGATCCTGATACGGAACAACTTCCGAAACATAATAGATTCATTTTTTATTAAAATAACTTGTAAGCATATTAACTGAGAATTTATAGATTTTAATAAATTTGCGTGATTAAGATTTTTTACTGAAGGATGAGTTTATTATAAGATTATTTTTACAATTCTGAGAAAATGACCTTAAACATGGAGTATAAAGCACTGTTTGATAAGGGGGCATAACTTTGCATCCGGTAATTTTTGGAATATTTGCCCTTTTTAAACGCGTTCTTTTATGACATTAAAAATATTTACTAATAAGAATTGAAAACCTTTTTCATTTTCTTGAAAAAATGGACCTTAATGAAAGTTGATACCAATGGAGATGCCGACGAAGGGTCTTGGCAATAGCTCCTCTTTATCCTTTGAAAAGTGGAACTCAACCTTAAAGTGTGTAGCAATGTATTGAATATCATAATTTTTGTTTAAAAACTACGAATTTCATTAACTGTTTGTTCCAACAGGAACTTTACTTTTGTTGAATCTAAAAAAGAAATATCAGCAGCCGTTATGTTTACCCTTGCAAGTACAGTGGCAAGTTCAATGTCATAGCGTAACATACTCACTAAGAATGATTAGGACTTAAATAGTTTCCCTCAGCCTGAGGATTCATTTCACGTAAATAATATCATAATTGGTATTTAATAACTTTGTTTGATACTTTGCAATACATTTTTGTTTTTTCTGTGTGCAAACGTTTTTATAGTTTGAAACGAAAAATGTGTTGGATAAAACCTACATTTTCCCTCGAAAATGGCGGTTTTTATTCACAAAATGAAGGGTACGACTCACCCTGATGAAGAATAGTGTGGTTTAATAATGGATTGAAAAACGTTGTTTTTTATCATTATTTATTTATTTATTTATCTATTGTATAAAACAAAAAGGGATTATTGTAATAAGGATTACGTAAGTTAACAATAAAGCAATGTTCTTACTACCTGACTTGTTTTATTTTGTCAGTTCTCATTGTCAAGGTCTTTCTTAATACCTTATTCTAAATGAGTTTCATAAATCATTCTAAATGAGTATCATAAATCATTTGATATATGTCTAAAATTAAAGTGTTGCAAAGTGCATCACCCACTTTTACTGCTAAAACTCTATACATTAAGATTTCTGATGAAACTTTTATCTACGATTATACTTTAAAAACAGTGCGCCTGAAAAGAATATGACGGACTTCAGCCTTCCGGGTCATTCGGACAACAATTAGACTATAAACTGAACTTTGATAGGCTGATAAGAGAACCAAAATAATTAGGTGAAATCTGCAAATTATTAATTAATCATTTATTGGTTTTAACAAGAAATGTGTGCACAGTAAACTTATTCCCCTACTTTAATACAGTCACGGTGGCACATTTACATACTTATACATATCTAATAAAGGTCCAGCGTTATATTAAAAAGGTAATATTTATAACACATTTTGTTGTATAATCATTGTATGGTTTCATAAACTTAGGAAAGTCTTGTTCTTGATAAGACATTATTCCATGCGTCAACGTGACTTGACCTTGTGACATCGACATTAATTTCTCAATAAAGGTAACACTTAGATTATTTTTTATTTCTCTTCTCATGTCGATCGTCATTGATAGGACAAAGACTTTACGCAGAATTCATTGTGATTGTGACCTTACAACTTATTGCATGACAATTGTAGAGTTCGCAGTAACAAAGCCCTGTGTGTGCAAAAGCGTACTCAAACTATTTGTAGGACAATTATTTTTTTCAATTTTTCAAAATTAAGATGGCCTTTGAACGTCTGACTTTAAACTAAACTGAATTTATCAAAATTGAGTTCATGCATGTTCATACGATGCTTGGAATATTGTGGACACTAGCAATCAATTTAAAGAAGCGGAATACATAGCAATCATGACCATTGATATCTTATATGAAATCTATGGTCTTCATCAAACAATTTAAATGTAATTTTACTTGACAATGTGATACACAAATTATCTTAGCTTAAATCCGTCTGCAGAAGAGAAGAATTTGACAAGAGTTTTCCTTCTATGAGTATATGTGGGCTTTATTTACCGAGGAGTTATGATTTGTTTCAAATATCAAGCGCATTTATTCTACAAGATATGGTAACAGAGTGCCAACAAATAGCCTTATAGTTACATTCTCTACACCCATTCTTCCATCATCGATTCGAGTAGGTTACCTTAACTTTCGCGTTGTGGTTTACATTCCAAACCCTATGCAATGTTACAAATGCTTCAAATTTGGTCACAATGAATCAAATTGTGCAAGGCAGACTATTTGCCGCAGATGCAGTTCAAACCATGGCAAAAATGAGACTTGTTACGTCCCTGTTAAATGTGCCAATTGTGGTGGAGAGCATTACGCCACCTCCCGGTCATGCCCCTTGTGGTTAAAGGAAAAAGAAATTCTACGTCAGAAGTATACGCAAAATATTTCCTCTCAAGATGCACGAAAGCGTGTTGAATCACAAGGACCAAAACAACTGTTGTATTCAGCTGCAGTTACAAAGTCTGTTAAGATCGTTGACTCTGCAGTACAGGTCAACTTATGTCAATGCCCCCAAATTAAGTTACCATTACCTTCAAAGCATACAGCTTCACAAAGTAAGCAGTCTACCTCTGTGCAGACTCAGTCACCATTAAAGTCTTCTCCAAAGAAGCAAACCGCAAACATTCAAATAGCATCTTCTGAGAAAGTTATTCAAAAACAATCGCCTAAAGAGCGGTTGAAAAAAGCAATGCAGAACCTGATCAACACAGAAAATCGGTTCGATCCACTTCACGACACCCAATTGATGGAGGATGAGGATCTATACCTCTCCCCTCCTCCAACTCCGAATAGCAGAAGTCCAATAAAGTTTCCTAAATGATATAAATATTCTTTAAGATGGATAATAGAAGTCATTCTATCCTACAATAGAATTGCCGTGGTCCAAAGTAAAATTATAATGATCTACTTCTACTTTTATCAAAATTATCTCCAAATGTGTTATGTCTTCAGGAGACCATGTTATCTCCTAAAGATAATATCTCTATAAAAGGTTATACACTATATAACTATATATGCACTAGTAACGCCAGAACATCAGATGGTACAAGCATTGCTATCGCAAATTGCGCTCCACAAAAAGAACTAAAACTTAACACAACCTCTAACAATTTGTTCTCTATACATTTCTCTAAATAAAACGGTAACAAGTGATGAACTTGAGAGTATTTTTCGACAATTACCATCACCTTTCCTTCTCTTAGGCGACTTTAATGCTCATAATCCTATGTGGGGCAGAACATCTACTAATAACAAGGGAAATATAACTGAAAAATTGATAGATAACTTTCAGATTTGTTTATTAAACAATCGGTCACCTACATATTTACATCCAGCTACAGGTACGTTTTCTTGCATCGACCTCTCGATTGTCCACTCTGCTATATTCTTGGACTTCGATTGGAAAGTGTTAGATGACCAGTACGGCAGTGATCATTTTCCTTTGTTACTTACATCAAATGACTCTATACCAGATGATTTTTAATTTAAGAAAGCAGATTGGGAAACATTTTCAAGGCTCTGTTCCATTGATCTAACAAAAAATGAATTTAATTTCACTTCTGCTGATATAGCTGAAACGTTTTCTTCAGCATTACATACTATTGCCTGCAAAGTTGTTCCATTAACAAAAAATAATAGTAACAAAATCAAAAGCCATGGTTTAACGAT